CAAAAGGAAGGGATAGTTAAAACTTAGACCTCAGGTAAAGTATCTTTTTTTATGGTTTTTCTAATTCTGTGGTTTATTTTATTAAATTAGTATTTACACAGGTATAATTTAATAGGATAATTTATAAATGTAAATCTCGGCAATTAAACTTAAACTGTAGGAAACATCTTAGAATAGGTTATTTGTATTTACTTTTACAGTCAATTTAATATAATCCAAAAGGTGGCTCAAATAAATCACAAACCAATCTCACAAATTCACCTGAGTCAAGGAAAACATAAATGTGCAATGGCTTGGATGTAAAGTATATCTTGTGGATGAGATACCTTAACACTCTTTTTATTAGTAGGTAATGAACAAGTTTATTATACCAATACTATGAAAAAGACGACTTTAAATTATATTGGTTCATACTTTGGCTGTCAAACATGTTCAGGAGATTCTTTGAGTGAATAAAGAAGTATATTTCAAAGTGTTAGTAAATTATATGATGCGCGTTTTATCAGTATTATATTCAAAGATACACAGAGTAAACCTGAAGGCTATTAGAATTTATAGTCAATTTTCACCCAGACTAGTTAGTAAGAAAAGTGATAATGAACATATGAACATATACCCGTGTCTCAATGCTTGACAAACCGTGTTATGAGCTGAGAATATAAAACAAAGAATTCAGTTTTAAACGGAAGACATAAATGGACCACGCCATTAAAAATTATTTGGCAAAAATCATATTACCCCTGCCGCAGCAACCCTGTAGACTGAGCGAATTTACATTTCCCTGATTTGATTTTCACTTAAATCTAGTTAAATAGCATTAGGTTTAATGGGTTTGCTGCTACAGGGAGGATAAAACGGATAACAAGGGAATTTTAGGTTTACAACTTTTTAATTTTCGTCAAAATATCAAAAACTATTGGAAATTCATTGTAATTGACTGTTCTAATTTCGGGTTCAAAACTGTTCAAACAGATTTAAAACTGATCACGACAAGTTTCACACTGCCCAAAGCTGCCATTACTAGTCACTAACAACTCAGTTTTAATGCTAAACTCAAGTTTCCCCTTGTCTGTTATTAGTAAACAGACACTCTATCATTGATGCAAAACTAACTCTTAGGAGTCGCAAAAGTGAGCAAACAGTCTACCGCACTACAAATTTAATCAGGTTGTTTTTTTCCATTGTTTTAAACTAACTCATTCAAGCAAAGTCATAGATTGTAAAGACCCGTTTACACGCTCCAATTTATCTGTACAAATCTGATTTTCACAAAACAAATTGTACAAACCATCGACACGTGTAAACGGCAGATTTGTACAAACTATTGGATTGGAGCTAGGTTGGGAGGTTTTTCATCGACCAAATGCGATCAGATAGGAAGGTTGGAGCGACAGGCTGGAACCTGGAACGTGAACACGGCCTTTCATACCATTTTGCTCAAACCTTGTGCTAATGCCATGCTCTTTAGTGTACCACCTGTCGTGAGATATCTCAATGTTGCTGTCTCTCATGTGGAGAAATGTCTTTCCTCATGACGCGTTACAGTACTCTTATCTACCGATTAACAAGTAGCATACATAGACCACGACAGCACCTCCTCCCAAGGTGATCACAACAGGTATTCGCGTTTGAAAATGGCATAGTAGATTTGAGTATTTATATCGTATCGTCTGAACTTGGTTTTTTAAAATCAAACTGTACAGATAATTAGAGCGTGTGAACGCGCCTTTAATCAGAACTAAATTTTTATGTCAGGTGCCTATTTACAGAAGAGATTATTGAAACAACAATACATTTATGTAAATACTAGCAGAGTACCCGTCCTTCGTACGGGGTTGGCTTTTAAGTGTAAAATGCTTATTGCAGTTATACTCCAACTTAGCGTTTGCAATGGGGGATGACACAGTTTGATAAAATTTGCTTCTTTAAATTTACGGTATTTATTATAGCCATAATGTTCTACCACTTCACCTACACAATATAGAAAAATAAACTATTAATAATTCGCAAAATATCAAAACTTTTTCATGCAATTAAAAACATAAACATAACTGTAAACAATCCTACTTTGACAGTTCCCATTGCCTATCGCAGGTTTTTGTTGCTGCTTATTTCAAATTAGGTGTTTTCATAAATGCAAAAAAATAATAGTACTGCACCCTGTTGGTAAATCCTATAACCTTTTAATACTTTTGCATATTATAGAACCAACTTTTTTAGCTGAAACAGCTGACTAAATTCTTTAATTCCCTTGAAATATGAATACTCATAAGGTTAACATGGGAAACTACAGAGCCACTGGGGCGGAGCCCGAAAGGATTTTTGAGATAAGAATATGCCTATATGTTAACCGGGAATATGAGCTATCATTTTGCCAAATTTCAGCCCAATCTGTCCAGTAGTTAAGGCGTGATTGACCTTCAAACGAACAAACAAACAAATAAACAAATAAACAAACAAACACACAAACTTTCACATTTATAATATTAGTAAGCTAATTAATTCTGTCGTCATATTGGTGACATAATCGACAAATTAGTTTGTAAATGATTAATTTTGTTCTGATGTTGTTTTGGTATCCCCTCGCAAATCTTAAAACTTTTGACACGTACTAATAATACGCGTGCAAAGTGTACATACATATTTGTTCTTCCAATATTGTATAGGAAATTCATTATTATTTACCAAATACAAATCTGATGAATTTTTTTTACACGTCATTACCAAATGTACATCTATTCTTTTGGCATTTGAAATATTCATCCAACTGTATTATGAAAAGATTTACAATAAAATTAAAATGGTGATTAAGTTTAGATGTGCTTTGGTTTAAAACTTGAGGGATTGAAACTTGGTTATTTCAATCCACTTATTTCCTCGGGGCTATCTCCAGCTGACGGTGTACTTGTTCCCCATTGGTAATTTAATATAGTATTTTTATTTCAAAGACATTTCCGTATTTAAAAAAAATATAATTTTACATACATGCAATAATTGCTAAATTTTTATCTAGGCCTATAAACTAACTTTCTACAAAATCAACAAAAACAGGTCCAAACATATTGTTTTTACTTTAAAAAAATTCTACAAAAGTAAATATCAGATGTCCTCATTTTTTAACAATTCCATAATAGTTTTAGGTGATAAACAGTTTATTTATTTTATTTTCATAGTCATACGACAAAGTGGGCTTCCTTGCACTGATTATAGTACATAAAGCCTTACTTTGGCGCACAGTTTTTACTTTGGTGCACACCAGTATTAGTGATTTTATTACGCACGTAATCCGTGTACACTTGAAAATAAGTTGGCAACACCAAGGCCACACTAATAAAACCTATGTTTGGTTTTTTAGTGTGGCCTTGGCAACAATTAAAGATATTACGACTACGATCATGGGCGTACCCAGAGGGGGGCAGGGAGGGCAGCTGCCCCCCATCCCCCCCCCAAAAAAAAGCCAGGATAAGGTACTGGTAAGGTACTGGCAAGGTACAGGATAAGGTACCAGGATAAGCTAGTATAAAAAATTGAGAAAGAAGAAGAAAGGATGTTATTAGTATGAGAAAAGATGAGTAAGATAGTTTACAGATTTTTTATGACATTTTTTTACACATATGTTATCAATTTTTCATTATTTTCTGAGTTATTCTTCAATAGAATAAAAAATCCAACGGTAGTAATAGTCACTAAGAAGACTAAAAGATCGCGCCACTCATCCTACACTCATCTCCATTCACTTGGCTTAAAATACCTACTTTGTATGGTCACCATTTAATAAGAAAGTATTATTAAGTATTAATAAAAATAAACAGACCTATTTCTTGCAATATGTAACAAGTAACAACTTTGTGCAGTATAATGAATTATACCTATTTGTGTGACATTATTTTGTTTTCATTTGCCTTCAACAATAATGTAACGAACAAATTTGCTCTTTACGGCATAATTTCGGGTGTTATAAATGGATGTGAAAAGATGGCATGGACACAAAAAATACAGTTAAAGGTGTATTGTAAAACTAAGCAACCTGACCTGACCCCATTGATGGACATAAAGCCACTTTATAAACTAAGACTTTATAAACGCTGGATTATCGAGCTAGGTTTGTTGTATTAATGTCTCAAAATAGTGCAAAAAACGCTAATTTCAGCATATTGTTTTTACAATTTTCTGGAATATCCCCCAGGCCCCCCAGCCAATATGCATGCCACCCCCAGCGACTTCTGTTTCAAGTACGCTCTAGCCCCCCCCCTCCCTACTTTTGATCCTGGGTACGCCCTCGACTACGATCAGCCGGTGCAGCGTTTCCCATTTCGTTCAATGATTGGATTTAACCTAACCTAAAAGCGTGTTGTACAGTGTTGGAAAGACTAATTATTTATACGATTTATAGTAAATGTAGGAAAATATAATGTGTAACACGAGTGGAAACTGACTTTGGTGCACTTCGCCCACTATTTACCTAATAACAAATAACTATTCTCTCCTATGGAGTCATGCTATTTTATTATTTTGTCCCTGAGTTATGTTTGGATACAAATTTCCCACCGTCAAGGCACGGCCACCGTTTAGCTCTCAAATTCGAAGTGGCAGTAGTGTTGTAACAGCTGTTTTGAGCTAAGAGTTAAAGGTGGCCGTGCGACAAAACCCATCCCCATGATTAAGATTAAAATGATTGTATCCGGTTAGTAGTGGTCCACTTGCAGTATCCAATGTCAGTTGCATTATCTTTTTTTCTAAGCAGGAATCTAATATAGTAATTGAAACCAATTACTTTAATACTTTAACATGTTTTAAACTTTCTCTCAAGTCAATAGTGAATAGAATGTTTAATCTATGACAATTGATTGAGAAATGCAGTAACTTGTAACCTATTTTCCTGTCCATAGGATCTACTTTCTTCTTGTTTTCTACTGATGGTTCTGTCTGTACGATCTTCTCCTCTCCTCCTGTCATATCGTCATATGTTTGTTGATGATTTTTTACTAAAGACAAGACGATGGAGATGGATGGATGAAGATGAAACTATGATGGGCATGGATTGTTAAATATTTCTTGACCACTGACCAGTCGTTTAGAACTAATAATTTTCAATTCTATTGATGTCTTCTACTTTACTCATAGTTATCAGATAATAAAGTATTAAATTAATATTAATGAACGAACAACATGTCTGCAGTATTGTGCCCCAATGGTGAATCAAGATAGCCCAATTCTAGCTTAAACAGTAAGTTTAAGTTTATTCTCCTGTGTTCAATCGATTGCATCTTCGCCATGCACACTTTAAGCAAATTTCTTTTAGTGGCCTTGCATGTATTTATCATCTTTATTAATTCTTAGGCATACCTAAGTTATCATTTTTTCGTCTAAAGGTAAGGTAAACCAACCTTGACCAAGTTAGATGTGAAGAAGCCTAAGCCTAGTTTTTTTTTTTATACTTAACCTAGCCTATGCCTAAATTAGTAATTTGAAAATAATTGAAGAATGTCTACATTAAGTTACAGAGAAGAAGTTAGAAGGCTACCTATCTCTGGTAATTAAGCCGACCTCTATGAAATAAAGCACTCATTTTACTTATAAAATTATAACGTAGTCCTAAGGTTAACTTACAGTTTTTTAACTGGGCTAGCCTATGCTAACATCGATTGAAACGATCAAATTAAAAATAGCCGCAACGTTGATTGGCCGGTGCCCCTCCACGGCCAACTTGGCTAAGGACGGAGAACACTCAGTTGAAGTTAGTCTCAATTCAAAATTCGTTTTGGTTGGTCACCTAAATTTCCGCGTTGCCTTTCCCCCCTTTTTTAAAATGGAATTAATCATGATCAATCTTCATCTTAGCATTGTAAACCTATAACTTAACTAAATTTGGAATTGTATATTTTCTCGTAAGCTAAGTAGTACTTTGTGTTTATAAATTTTACAGCAAGTCGGAGGTTACACTATTTTATTATTATAAATTAATCAATCAAAGATTGTAGTTTCATTCGGCAACCTGTCGCACTTGAGTTATACACAACAAAATCAGAAAGTAACTCATGTCTGCTCTTCAAAGTCATGATTTGATCTTCTCTCCTGTTTGTAGACATTTAACATTACTTAGGCTTTTAACTTTAACTTAGTTTTAATACCAAAGTTCGACATTAAGAGAGCCTGCATTTGTTAAGTTAGGCTATAAGTTACTTATAGGCTAGGCCTAGTATTTTGCAGTGTCTTAAAACCAGTGTTTTAATGGGACAAAACATGTCTTGAGATAGCATAAACCGACAATTTGGTTAATTTATAACCTAAACTTTACCTTTTTAATCCAAGCTAGCCTATAACTTTAAAACAACCGCGAGTAGACTTTCATATCTGTTGTTAAAAACAACCGTGAATGAAAATAATATGATGATATTAAGATGATATTCGCCTATTTCATTCGATATATTGTTTGGTTGGTTAACTAACCATACAATATAACTTAGGTACCGGAAATGAAATAATCAAATAAAAAATATCGATTGATATTTTCATTTGATAGTTTTTGACAACAGATATAAAAGTCTACCCACAACCGCTAATAATAATATTATCATTATCTTTATGTAAATTGATATATTGCCGTTGATAAATAAATAAATAAAATACAATTAATTCAGTGGAAACAGTGGTTGTCCGAGTACCCATCAGCAAAAACATGCGTTCACGTTGAAGCATATTAATCATGCACCGTAAGCTTGATTACCGAGCAGAAAATGTTATGTGATTCTTAAATAGGCTAGCCTACCTATATTTTTTGTGTGAATTGCTATTCAGATTTTTAATTTTTTTTCTAGAGGTAAAAAAAATCACAGTTTAAGTTAATATATTTATTAAGTTTGACAAAATAGTAACAATTAAAATTACAAAGTAGATAGAAAACCACATCTGCGGTTTCAATATAGGGCCTATATTTTTTTTTGGTGATATTTTGCAACGTTTTATCTTAATAAACAATGCCGTAATATGCTTCAACCATTAATTTGCCGTAATATGCTTCAACCATTAACATTGCCGTTATGGGCAGAAAATCCAAGATGACCGGCGGTCCTGCCGACTCTTAAATGAAAATCCAATCAGGCAAATAGAAATTCTCTAGCCAGGAGGTTAGCTGAGGCAAGGGCAATTCAAGCACATAACCTTTCCTAACTTTGTTCTAGGTATTTCTCAAGAATGTAACTCAAGATTTCAAGAGTTTTTGTATAGGGCCCACTACATTGTTGATCATGTTTTCCTTTAAGGAAGCAATTTTATTTACATCATCATTATTTGGTGAGTAAAAAAGTTTGCTAAACAAGCTAATGAATTTATCCAATTTCAGGATAGCTTGCTGTCTTGCATAGAGCCTGCAATATATATTAGTCTATTGGATAAAATATTAGTTTGATATAGCCCTATATAACCCTTAGTAGATTTTTCATCCTTATGGAACAGCTGAAGCCAATTTTATTGGTAGTGCTGTATGTCGCACTGTAGAGGCTGTGTTTTGTTTACAATTAGTTTCTTGTTATTTCAGTGATTTAAAAACCTCCTTTATTAAAATAAAATGATCTTATCATAAAGAATAACTCGTCTCCTAGTTATATAACCAAACAGTAAAGCACAAATCATGAAAACAACCCTAAAATCATCAACAACAAAATAAAAACACAACAACAAAATTTTGTCTACACTAGCGATCAGTGTCGACGTACGGTACATGAATTAGACATTAAAAACAACCTTAAAAATTTACAAAGGGATGAGAATTTTATCAAGTTTTCATGTGATATAATTATAGGAATAGGCTATATAGGCCTATTATATTGTAGGTTATCTACGGAACTGTTTGCTCATATTTGAAATAAGTAGGCCTATGCCTATACAGGGTGTTCCAAAAGGGTGGGGACCTAATTCGCATAGTGATTCCTTGGGTAAAAAAAAGAGAAAATCAATAACCTAATTAATACAAGTTTTCAAAAAATCACTTTGTTAACCAGATATCCACCATTTTGTATTTTTTACATTAACATTTTATTATTGGATTGTTCTAACCGATCTTTATGAAACTTAATAAGTACCTACCTATATTAATGTAAAAACAACCCATGTGAGGAAAAAATATGATCTTGGTCAAATTTAAAATTTCTAAATTGCTGCCATTTTAATTTTTTAAACTTAAATCACTAAAAAAATGGCTGGTTTTATGAAAAAATGTCAAGTGTTTATTTAGCATTTTTAATTTCCTGAGAAACGACACCAAGTTCAAAAATATTGAATAATAAATAACCTAATTGGAATATCACGTAATTAGGTATATCATGTAAAACAATGCAAAACTGATTAGCTTAGCCCTCATTCATCTTCATTTTGCGACCAAAAATCGTGATATTTCAGTTATTTGTTATTCAATCCTTTTGAAATTGGTGTCGTTTAGTAAGGAACTTAAAACGCTAAATAAAAGTGTACATAATCAGCCATTTTGTAGTAAATTATGTTTAAAGATTTTAAATGGCCGCCAATTTGAAATATTGGACCAAGCTAATATTTTTTTTTACATGGGTCGCTTCAACCTAACATAGGCCTACATACCAAGTTTCATAAAGATCGGTTAGCACAATCCAAAGATAAAAATGTTTAAATGTAAAAAATACAAAGTGGCTGATATCTGGTTAACAAAGTGATTTTAGAAAAATTTCTTTTCTTGATGTTGTTTTTATTTTGGCCCAAGGGATCTTTACGTGGGTTATGTCCCTACCCTTTCTGATCCCTACCCTGTATAATTTTAGCGAAACTTAAAGCGGAATCTCGATTGTGTGAGCTTTTAGAGTGTCATGTTTAATAACACGACTTAACAGCAGCAACAATAAATAAATCTCATGATTGCATAAGTAGCCTATATGATATTGGATCACGCAAAGATCAGATTATATCTCAACATTTGTTAATTGAGTGAACTCAACTGAAATTAGAAATTACAAAAAGGAATAGTAACTTAATTCGTTTTTGAAGGATAAGTTGAATGTAGCCTGGGGCCTGACTTGTGTTTTGCAGTGTTGGTGATTGTTACTTCGTGTTTCTGTGACACTCAGCTGTATGTTCCTCCTAACGGGGTCATCTACAGTCCCAGGTACCCTCGGCCGTATGAAAACGACACTAACTGTATGTGGCACATCCGGTCCAGGGAACCCATGGCCACCATCATGCTCAGGTAAAACACCACTCTCAACAATTGGTAAATAAATACTCCCATATCATAAAGAGAGCCAACAGACTGAAAAGTGTATAAATTTACAAATTGATTTGTGCTACCGGTACTACTTATGCTAGCTTTTTAATATTGTTATTTAACAATACTTATGCAACCAAATTGTTTAACGACTTGTTGTAATTATTTTGTCTTATCGTTTGATTAGTCTTAAGCACTGTAAAATTAAAGGTTGATGCAGCCTATACGCTATTGTATTTACTAACTGTACAACTTGTCTAAGGAATAAAGATGAACTGATTTTATTCAAGAATCAATACCACCTAGGGTAAAGGTCCGTTGCCATGCAAAAAACCTGTTAAAAGACTTTCTCACAAACTCACAAATACTTATTCACTACCGGTATAATTCTACTTCACAAGTTCAAGCAATGTAACATTAGGTCTAGGATTTAGGAAGAAACAAACGTTTACTTTCTCCCCCCTATACCATAATATACAGGGTGTTGAAAATGTCTGGAACCAACATTATATCTGGTGAGTGGTTAAAGAAAAACAACTGGTATTTTGTGTACGGATATACTATGGTTTTACCTATCTTTTGGTGCCTTATGAAATTTTTTAGCACTTATAGGGAACGTCCTGTGGAGGATGCAGTAAAAAGTTTTAATGGAAGCCTATGGTAAATGATACATCATTTTAAAGGCCATTTTTTTCTGAGTAAGGAGCCGCAAGTTTCATCTCAAAAGGACCACCCTAGCGAAAATGGCGACTGTTTGAAATTTAAAAACCCACTTATAGGGAACGTCCTGTGGAGGATGCGGTAAAAGGTTTTAATGGAAGCCTATGGTAAATGATACACCATTTTAAAGGCCATTTTGTTCTGAGTAAGGAGCCGCAAGTTTCATCTCAAAAGGTCCACCCTAGCGAAAATGGCGACTGTTTGAAATTTAAAAACATTGCTATTTAAATGGTCCGTATTTGTTTCCTTTAAATGCTATTACAAGCCAGTTACGAAGTACAGTAGTTTATCACGTGGTAAACTGAAAAATGACTGAAAAAAAAACATTTACTGTAACTAAATTGTTTGTGTTGTTTTACTAAACTTATTTTTAACAGAAATACCAATTAAGCTTTCAATTATTTTCAAAAACTTCAAACAGTCACCATTTTCGCTAGGGTGGTCCTTTTGAGATGAAACTTGTGGCTCCTTACTCAGAAAAAAATTGCCTTTAAAATGATGTATCATTTTTTCCATTTACCATAGGCTTCCATTAAAACTTTTTTCTGCATCCTCCACAGGACGTTCCCTATAAGTGGGTTTTAAAATTTCAAACAGTCGCCATTTTTGCTAGGGTGGTCTTTTTGAGATGAAACTTGCGGCTCCTTACTCAGAAAAAAATGGCCTTTAAAATGATGTATCATTTACCATAGGCTTCCATTAAAACTTTTTACCGCATCCTCCACAGGACGTTCCCTATAAGTGGTAAAAAATTTCATAAGGCACCAAAAGATAGGTAAAACCATAGTATATCCGTACACAAAATATCAGTCGTTTTTCTTTAACCACTTACCAGATATAATGTTGGTTCCAGACATTTTTAACACCCTGTATATATGGAAAAAGTATTGTTTCTGTGATAATTGTTTAGTTTGAGTTTTGAGGAGATATATCCGTTTTATGTCCCTCTGAACACAGAAAGTGGTTTTCAAAGTGATTTCTGTCTGTGTTTGTGTGTGTGTGTAAACCTACAAAGCAATAGTTTCTTAAACGTTCCCAATTTGTAGTAATGTTTTGTTTGAGTCTCCAGGTCTTTTGGTGTATTGACTGTTCCCAAAATCTCGCTGCGGCTAGCCATTATATAGCATTGCCATTACATTATATTGTGATGTAGTAAATTGTTGTTTGCAAACAACAGTTGGGCGTTTTATTTAATCAGAAAGTACAAAAATATGTCAAATAACACTGTAATAAACACTGTAATCAAGGATCCAAAGCAGAAGTTGTACCAAAAACAGCTGCCCGATGTAGTGAAGAGATGCACCAGAGTAGCCTAATCCCCGAAGAATGTCGACAGAAGGTGAACATTTTAAATTCCGAAGCACCGGCGATGAAAGGGATCCCGAAAATACACATGAAGAATGTACCCATCAGACCACCTTTAGTTGACTTTAAATGTAAAAAAAAATACTGTGTTATTTGACAAAATTTTTGTACTTTCAGGTAGTTTAAGGTAAATTCAACATACAATGCTGATCAAGAAACTATTTGATTTAATATCAAATGTTCAGTTCATGAGCTCATTAAGTGTTTTCCCTCAGTGTTGAAGACCTTGATATAGAATCAGATGAGTCTGAGGTTTGCGGCTTCCCCAAGAACCGACCTTGCTGTAAACACAACTGGCTGTCCCTACCTCTGTCTGGGACTGGAAAGGTCAGTTTTAAACTATAAAATAACTGCCAGTAGTTGTATCTTGTGTATCTATATTGCTGAATATTAATACAATGATCATTTTTGATATGCGTACCTGAAAAGTTAAGTTAATAAGTTAAGTTTTTTTTAAGTAATTTATTCACATATACACTTGAGTCTAGCTAATATGACCCAACTGGGATCGAACCTTGTTCGGATGAGCATGGGTTGGATTATCCGAAATAATACAGTAGAACCTCAATTATCAGGAGTGACTGGGGTGAGGGAGAACAAACATAATGAATACCGGTACCACTGTTAATCCAACTAAACATGTAATAAAATGTATAACAAACACATAAAAAACAACGTAATACTTTTTTATCAGACATTACACATTCGCTGCGAGAATCCCTTTGGCAGTACGGTCGGAAATGGGGCGCAGCCTCGGCGCACCAGTGAATCAGCGAACACAAGAGCATTAAAATATTTCAGTCTTGACAGCGGCAAAACAGCGGTGGTGATTGTGCTGTGTTACCCCGAGAATGGACGTAGTTCACTGAAAAACTCACAGATAGCAGCACTGCCTGGATCCGTAGCCAGCGTCTTTGTTATGTGGCTCAAAGAGAGAAAATCCCTGAAAACAGGACAAAATCGTTGCCAGACGGGATTTTACGGGAAATTTTACTATTAACCTAAACTGAACCTACACCAAAATAAAGTATAGGACCAGCACAACATGCTGACATCGATTAGTTGATCCCGATAAATGCGGAGGTCACAATAGACCAACTTGTATAACACTGCACTGTGACTCCGACCGGAATCGTACGCACGGTGTGCCAGTACGGCATGACTCCAATCGGAGTCGTCAGCAGCGAACGTGTTAAACTCATCATTTACATTTTACATAAATAAAATAACAATATTGTACAATAATTACCTTGGTCATTGACCTTGGTTAGATATACAAACTGTAACGTTTGAAAGATAGCATACTCAAACTACTGGTATTTAGGGATAAAATTCCCAGGTAGAAACTTCTCTTATAAAGTACCTATCAAGAATTTGAATTTTAAATTTCTTTTTATTCGTACAGGACACCATTTTCTGACACTCTTTGAGCACTCAGTAGGTAGGCTTAACTTTAAGACTTATAAAACCCAAAATAAATTTGTGTATAGTACTTTGTTTGTTTTAAAGAATCAGGACTGGTTTTTCCTTTAACTTTTTGAATCACCCTGCACACTAATTAATGATTTTATTTTCTAAAATACTATACTTCATTGTTAAAATCAATAATAATTAAGTGTACAATTGAATAAACTGTACACACATGCAAATTATGATACATGGATGAGATAGTGGTTTAACCACAAGCGGTGGTTAGTGGTTGTTATAAGTGCAACCTGAATTATTCACAAAACATTTGTAACCACCGATCCATGGAATGCCAAAAAAGAGCCCCTGGTCTTATAAAATCTAAAAACTATTGTGAAAAAATACACAATAGGGATTTTTCCAATTCATTTGGGAATTGTTACATAACTAAAAAAAAGCTGAAAGGTTTTTTAAATCGATAACATTGTATGCATGAACACTGAATCACTTCAAGTAGCTCAGATTGGTTTTTGAAGATTGAGTTGTAGAAGGTCAGTTGCATCGTTGTTGTGGTTTTTCAGGTAAAGACACAGCAAGTGTGTGGTCACCAATTTGTATCCAAGCCTATCCTTGTGAGGGCTCCTGAGGTAGCTGTCAAACTCCACATCTCACGAGTGGACAAGGGTGGCAAAGGGTTCCGACTGTCCTACAAACTGTGTAAGAAATTTTGTCCTCTCATTCTTACAAATGGTGCCTTTTACACGTATATGGACCAGAGCATGGGGTCTAAAACTGGGTTGCTGTATAAAGTTTTTTTTTTTTTTCAATTTAATTTGTAATTAAGAGGTTGATAAAACTCCTCCCACAATCACGATGAAACTGTGAATGACTTCTACAGTTACATTCAATTTGTGAACGTCTACTGTGGGATTGAGGACATACTACACAGGTTGGAGAAGATCATTCACCGTTTCCCTCAAACGGACCAAACAGCGAACATCACCCATGATCAAAGTGAAACCGTCAATTTTAAACAGCGCATCTTTGCAGACACATTCTGTGATTGTAACCATAAAAGCCCAACTCAGCTTGGCTGAAAAATGCGAGCACACCTCTAAAGTGACTCAGCCAGAGCTTGGTCTAAAAATTATTTCTGGCCCGAAGGATCTGTTTGGGCCAATTATTGGAACGATAGGACCCAAAAATATCAAGACCTGCAGACCCCTGATATTTATTTGATTTAATCTAAACAGTTGTTAAACATTATTTTAGAAATTAGTTACAGCTGATGGTAAAAAGAAAATTATCCAATAGCATTTTGAGAAACGAGATTTCCAATACAGGGACAGAGTTCTTCTTATCTAGAAAATCTTTTTTACCTTATGTATTACTTAATGTATTCCCTTCTGCATGGTTATAAAGCCAAGTGCTTTTCCTTAATTCAGTCAAGTTGTATACAATAATGGTGTAACACTAACTAGTTCTGATGGTATTTGATGTCCGCAGTGAAGCCACAAGACTGTCTACAGCCTGGTATGGTGCCGTGTGGTCCTCGCGCAGCTGACGGTTGCTATCACAACGCAACACAGCATTGCGACGGTGACACGCAGTGTGTGACAGGTCGCGATGAGGCTGACTGTGACACTTGCTACACACGGAGACAGCGATGCGATGGCAAACCTGACTGTCAGGACTACTCGGACGAGGTTGGCTGCGGTAAGTCAAATATAACAAGCCACCCTAGTGAGATTTTTTTTTAGTATATTTCGGTCATAGGAAAAACAAAGTAGTTTGCCTCTTTGATTCTTAGTGACTTTTTTCATATATCAATTTCAGGAATACTTTCCTTGACCTTGACAGTTGTTCCAGTTTTATTAAGATTAAGCCAAAACCCCCCTTTAAAATTCAAAATCTGAAAAAATCCCAAGAACGCTTGTTTTGATTTATGACTATAAGAACTGCAAGCAGTGCCTGCTACCATGTTCTAAAGCCTTTTAGTGGAAAATAGAGAGTTTACAACTTTAATCTTTTTAGTCTGCCTAACTGCCAAATTTCTTATTTATTTCTTACAATTTGAGTGTGTTGAGTATTTGACTTTAATATTTTTTTACAGTAGAACCTTTAAAACCTTTAAAATTCAAAATCTGAAAAAATCCCAAGAACGCTTGTTTTGATTTATGACTATAAGAACTTCAAGCAGTGCCTGCCACCATGTTCTAAAGCCTTTTAGTGGAAAATAGAGAGTTTACAACTTTAATCTTTTTAGTCTGCCTAACTGCCAAATTTCTTATTTATTTCTTACAATTTGAGTGTGTTGAGTATTTGACTTTAATATTTTTTTACAGTAGAACCCCAGTATAAACTAATTAGGCAGGTAAGGTGAACATGAAAGTTAGACATTACAACAATATTACTGTTAGGTTTCTGCGAGAAAGGCAAGGTGCGATGTTCAGCCTCTGGTCACCATTGTTTCCATCCTGTGTTGGAGAGATGCAACGGACGTTTTGACTGTCCTTGGGGTGAAGACGAAGTTGGATGTGGTGAGTGTTGTCCAATTTCACATCTCTTTATTTCACAATATTCTCAAATACAATTCGGTCGGTAAATTAAGGTTTCCATCAAGCTCCCGTTAAAATCAAGCAAACTAGGTAAAATCTTAGACCAACATCCCTTACTTCCTTACTTCATTCACTTTTATTTTAGCTGGTTCCTCCCTCTATGGAACGATCAGTCTGGTCATTGTATTAAAAGTTGTTTTGACACTGCCGCCAAGTATTGATCGTGTTCTGTGATTAGATTTTTGAGGTCTAAGTCATTGATCGTTATTGAAATCCATCGACATTTGGCTGACATGAATGGAGTTAAGTGTTTGAACATGTAAAAAATGCTCAAGGGGTAGAGTGAGTTCAAAGGAGGACTTGACATTTAAAATTGAGGTGTGCGGATAGTGAAATTTCATTTAGAATCAAATTCCGGTTGGATAGTATAGGCTCGGTTATTGAGAGGTTCGGATTCGGATATTTTTTTTATTTGGATAGTTCTGTGTTGGTTAGCGCAAGCGTGAAGTGTCCTTGGGCTGTTGAACAATATTTCTCTATTCTCCTTCCATTTTTATTTTGCCAAATGAACTGTTGTGTTTCAAAAACAATTATTTGTGAGCCTACTGCACATAAATAATAGACTGAAATAGTTGAACATACAATCCATTTGTTTAGCAAATAAGTTACATAAATATCTGAATGAAGGGAAGGAACACAACAAAGATTACAACATCAGAAAATTGAGAAAATTACAATGATTCTGGGACCTGTTTCATAAAAGTACAAATATTATAAGATAGTAATGAGCTTATAAAAATTTATTTGACAAGTTTGTAATTTTCTGTTTTATAAAAAAATTGTACAAACTAATAAAATATTACACTGATTAAGTTATAAGTCAGCTGTTGCATTATTTACTTGTTTATTTTATGAATTGTTTTGATTTGATTTGTAAGGTTAATTTTGACTGCAATATTTTTACTTGATCAAAATTTCAAGCAAATGTAAAATAAAGAATGATGAACTTTTTAGCAAGTAAGAGGCACAAGCATGCCAGCAATATTTATGAATGAATTGATTGTTTCTCCTACATCGTCTGGCCAGCAAATTGTGTCAATCAATAGGTTTTCATTAATTACATTTTACAACATTTTTTATGACTCGGCGAACTTTTCCTTTCGACACGACGAGCATATCTGCTGGAGTGCTGGTATTGTACACCACTACCAAACCAATGAAGTGCAATTTGTAATTGTTCTTTGGGTATTAATGCATGGTTCCTATTCGTCGGTGCTGTAACACAGGCTCGATTGTATTAAAAATATATATATTAATATTATATATATATTAATATAATAATATAATATAATATATAATATAATAATAATAATAATAATAATAATAATAATAATAATAATATAATATATAATATAATATAATATAATATATATATTAATATATATATATTATATTAATATTGAAATTTTCATAACTTATCCTAAACCTTTGATTTAATTCATAAGTCTCTAAGTCTCTTAAATTTGAAAGTAAGAAATCCTTTGTTTACATGTTCTTGGTCTTCTAACCACCACTATGTCTTTTCTATCATTTGATCCGCTTGATCGTTTCTCTATTTTGATAAAACTATTAACGTATTTATATTTTACTACATCTTAATAGAAGATACACGACACAAGTAAAAATTCTATGAGTCAAATAAGGCTTATAATTTATAAAGGTTCCTCCGTATTATTTAGGAAAGATAGTCCTGTTCTCTACCACCCGTCACACTGTATGGTTGGTCTATCATCACCTTGTGTCAGTTCCAGGATGCAAGGACAAGATAGCATGTTCGGGCGGGGAGGGCTGCTACAGCCCCTCGCAGAGGTGTGATTCCCTCAGTGATTGCTTGGACGGCTCAGACGAGGCGTTGTGTCCACCACAGCTGTGTGCGACTATGCGCGACCATCGTCAGTGTCACAACGGACACTGTCTGCCTGTCGCGTTGTGGTGCGACGGTGTGGACGACTGTGGTGACAACAGCGACGAGCAGACCTGCCTCAAGGTAATAGACAAACAACAAATAAATTTGATTTATTATTTTTCATGCAACCTATTAGCTTTTGACTATTGATACAACTAGACATTCCATTCCCATGTTTAACCCTTTCGACTCTCATTTTAGGGCTGCGTCCCCATGCCCTGGGTTTAATTTATTATGCAGATCATTAAGCCTATCATTATTTTAACTTCAAGTTATAGCCTACTAATAAAAAATATTTTTTAAATTTCCCAAGCCGTAATATGATACTGTTACGAAACGGCCGATGTGGGCTCACGGCTGACAAGAGAGGTGAAAGGGTTAAGTTGTCACCAGTTTTTTTATCAAAATCGTCGTAGTTGAGGTGAGCCACAGACAGATTGCGCTGATCTAAATTAATAATTTCTTTAGTAAAAAATGTGTGACAGCTGTTCCATGTCTTTATAAGTACAATAAATGAAAGTGTAGTATCATTGGATACAGAAGTATGGTTCGGCCGCTTAGAAAGCGACCTCCTCCAGCATTGGTTTAGCATTAGTGCGCAGGTCGTTTTCTAAGCGGCCGAACTATAGACATCCATCTATATGGACCAGCTGTTGCCTATTTCTTATTAAAAAAGGACCTAGTAATGTGAGCCAGTAACAGAATGCGCTAGGGTCTAAAATTACATTTTCTACCTTATTTATTGTTGCTGACCAAGTTGAGGGGTCATAACAGTTGCTATGAATAGTCAAAGGTAGTATTAAGATTTATCAAACCAAATGCAGTAAATATCTGTAACACATAAAGGGAGTTGAAGTTTTGAATGACTTTTTTTATGAATTTGCAGAACTCCGTGATCGCACTTGCCATAATGGGCTCGCTGTTCTGTGGCCTGTTGCTAGTCATAGCTGTAGGATGTGCGTTCAGGTTCTATGGACATCGATACTCATCTTCTTCTTCCAACTATCACCTTCACATATCTCCGCACCTTGCGTCTCGACTCAGGTAATGTCAAGGGAGTATCGGCTCAGTTAACCTTGCATCTGGCAGCTACAAATCTCTGTATTGGCGGGCTATTTTTTACTGTATGTGACAAAGGTTACTTTAGTAGAGCTGTATAACTTAAGTTCTACTATGCAAAAGTATATATATTTTTTGCAAGACATTACAAGGGATAAATTTAAACCATTGACAGATCCCAAAAAAATGTTGTAGAACTGTTTACTTTTAAGAACAAAAAAAAGAGAATGGGCATGTAACATTTTTTTAAAGTAGAGGCTTGGGAAAAATACAAACAATTTTTTAATTAGAAATCCAAGATATACAAAACTTTAAGAAAATGGTTCTATATGTGGAATTGGAAAAAAGTAAAAAAAAATCTGTTTTGTTGTTTGTGTAAAAGTTTAAGAAAGAATTTTACGTCACTTTGCGCTAAACATAAAGAACATTTTCAGCCTTTTTAAATAAATCAAGATGTATGGATTAATGTTATGCTGGTTATCCTCGTAGGATGACGTCGTCTGTCTCAATGCCCACACTGATGGCGGATGAGTTGTTCCACCGAGAGCCTCCACCAGCTTACTCTGTGGCTGTAGGTGAGAGTGAGGTGAGTGTATTGCCAGTACCAGCCACGAGGCCCCGTCGTCTGCGTCGTACCAGGCTACGTCCTGTACCACCACCACAGGTAACAGAACAACACGTTGTATAGGTCAAGTGTTTTGAATTGAAATACCATCCATTGATTTTGACAGGGTTGATCCAGTGTTGAGACTTTTTTAAGACTTATAACGACATCCTACAAGTGAACATTTCAGGTCTTTTCAGCCTGAAAATGATACCATAGGTGTAAAAACTGGCCACAACCAGAAGAACTTAGTATTACTTTGCCAGTAAGTATCAGTATTGAGTAATTAGCCTCTCGTTAGTAATTGAGTGTGAACTAATCTGGGGCTGTTAACCAGGAACGGTACTATAAGGAAACACCTAGGAACCATTAGTAGTTCAGTCAGGCTAGTACAGATTCTGTAAAAACAAGGTGGAAACCTCCCAACACTTGTGGCAGCACTGACGGTTTGAAATCTTGGTATAAAGGTTGAAATCTCTAGGAAGGCGGACTTGAACAATAAAAGATGGTTAAGCCTATAAAGTCAAAATAGAAGATGGGTCAATTGGGCGTCTCCAGCAGAAGTCCACTGTCAGACTGAGCAGAAAGGTGCTACAAAACATCGATTGGTCAAAGTAAGCTATGGGTAGTATCCTAAAACCCTCCCTCCCAAAAAAAATCCAGAAGACAATCCTTGAAATGAAGGATCATGTCCCCATACAAGTCAGTCACATGGGGTTTTTTTACTCCCAAGTTTAGTTCATCAGAGCCTGTAAAACTTAAGCTTGATGAACTGCAGCATCCTCACTATGGGGTCTTCCTGAGGGGCGCCTGCCCCTTACCCTAGTTCCAATAGTGTTTTCCTTACCTCGTTCATTCGTAACTGTGCATTTATAAAGTAAATGATCTGCTGTCTCCTCAGACTCAGTACACCTAAACTGAGTTTTTCTTAAAAGCATTGAGTGTGATCAGTTTTTTCTTTGCAGGTGGTGGTTAAACCGCCCGACTCCCCCATACCAGGTGAAGCGTCTTCTTCTCAAAGCTCCCCGAGTCGTGACAGTTCTTCTTCTTATCTCTCAGGCACAGACGACACCTTGCTGCTTAGCTCGTAGCACAAACATTGTGTAGTTTAATTGAGTTAACTGTAAGTCAACTTTGCCAACTTGTCTTTAGTTAAGGTTTAAATTGTCCTATGAAATAATATTATGTAACCTGTTTGAGCTAACCAATTGCCCCAATAAGCTTTTCTAGGTTTAAATGTGAACAGTGTTATTTATGAAATTTTGCCCCAGTTATTTAATATTCAATAGAACCTTATATAGTTGCATTGTTTATTTTATATCCTGAAAACAAATTCTGCTACTGAGATGTAAGAGCCCCACATATTGAATGTGGCTATTATGTAATTGGGATAATCTAGTTGTGTAATTTATTATAAGTTTCATAGGGCAGAGGATGTAGCTTTTTGCAGCATCAGTCCTTCAAATAGAATAATAAATTTAAACTATTGTATGTAATGCAAGTTTGATATGATGACTGCACATCCTGATTGGTTTACACACAATAGTCTCAAATTATATTGAAAATTGTAACTTAAAATGTATTTATTCTTCCTTATCTCACCACTGCAACTCGCAAAAAAATATCAAGATGGGTTCATCTTTTTAACATGTTTTATAATATCATGGTTACTACTACAGTATAAACCCCAAAAAATATTCCCTTGTTTAATTCATGTGCTCAATATATTAAACCAAACTGAATCTCAAACATTCTGTATTATATTGATATGCTAAATATATTTTTCTTAACTGTATTAAAATTTCTTGTGTGAAATTCCCTTGTCTGGAACTCTATTCAAAATCACTAGTTTTCCTAGGAAGGCCTGATATTTGTTAGGTTTAGTTGTACACATAGCAGTTGAATAATAATACTGCAGGACTTTTGGAACTGTGACAAAATAGTGTAATTTTATTCAATTAGGGTTCTTTGATTTGTTATCAGGTTTATTATTGTGCTGTGGGTGTTAATCTTTGCTATCAGCTTTGTTTCTCTTTCCTGTCTTATTCTATACTTTGTTTTGTATTCCTTACCACACATCATAATATTCACAAATTTAATTAGAACATGAAATAACAGTTTTAGGTCATATATGCTTAGCTCTTAGTTAAACACATTATCTAAGTTGAATACAAAGGATATTAAATTGCCATACAATTAATACTTGATGTCTAATCTATGAATTTGTTCCAAGCACATGCGGTTTTAGGAAGTTAGTCAACTACTTCACTTACAAATTAGTATTAATTAACAAAAGAACTACGCTCAAAGTCAACGTAAAATGTATTGGATTGTGTTGTACATGCATAATTATATTGTGATTTGTAAATGTGTTCTGTTTCAAGTTCAAGTGTGAACATATCTTCTCAGTGACTTTAAGCCTTTAAATTTCAAAGCTTAATAGCTACAGTAGTGAGTTGTGACATTGAAATACATATTATTACAGGTATTCCCCATTACAATCTGAAGTTAAAAATGATAATAACATCTTTCTAACATTCAGTTGGGTTTAGAGCTTAAACCATTGAGAACTAATAAGACACCTAATGTGGCCCTCCAAGAAATTCCTAACTAAAATATGTTAAACATTAATATTTTAAAAAGTTTTACTGGTAAAATATTTTTTTTCTGCATGACTTCTGTGTGGGTTGTTCATTATGTGTATGCGTGTTTTCAGTAAGTATTTATAAAAGACTTCATTCCATGCTGGAATATTATTTGGTCAAATGTGTGTTGTTTATGACTAATTCTCAGTGGTGTATTTTTACTGATGTTTCTGTCCTCTTGTCGCTTCAGTCTGTGTTACTTTCTCTTCTAAATGTTATTCAGTATTTATTGCTGCAGATTCTCAGAGCATGAAAATAACCAAACTGTAGTATTTTGTGTTAGTTACAATCAAAAAACTAGCAAAGTAAAACCAAAGAGTGATTTACTTAACCATTGTACATATGATGTGTATTATAGTAAACTGTTGTGTTAGTGTGTATATAATAAACCCCTTAGCTTTAAGGTGTAGTCTTAGTAAAAACTTCTTGTAAATTGTGATATGTTAAATATCAGTCTTTGTTGCCTATGGATTATTATTTTATAGAAACCAGACCATTTCATATTAATCTGTGATTTATTCATTAAATAATTTTATTTATGGTACACGATTTTTCTTTTTTACCCTAAGCTTATTATTCTATTTAAAAACCCCTGTTGTGTTGTATACCAAAAAGAGTCTTGTGGAAAAAATGTTACATGCTAAAGCACAGGTCACACCAGGCTGCTCGCCAGCTGCTGGTGATCAGCGGCACAGAAAACATACTACTATAACCCAGAATGCCAACCGCATGGTAAAAAGTATTAAGTGTTGTGAGAGAGCTTTGCCTGTCAATCGTAGGCAGCGCCACCAGCGTTGCTATGCTGAGTGCATGGCAACGCTCGTGGCGCTGCCTACGATTGACAGGCAAAGCTCTCTCAAAACACTTAATGCGTTTTACCAGGCGGTTGGCATTCTGGGTTATAGAAATATGTTTTCTGTGTCAGCGGCTGACACCAGCACCACCAAGCAGCGGCTTTTGCACGGATCACACTAGGCTGCTTGTCAGCCGCTGGTGATCGTGACATTGACTATGTGTGAGAAGGAACAGCTGTGAGGTTTTGCAACAAATTACTGTAAGCTGCTATTTTCTTATCCCTCCTGGTGCCATTCATTTTTTGTGTGGTGTCAGTAGATTTTCAAGCAATTTGCAGCAATGTGAACAAATATACTTTGCAAACTAACTATACCTTGTTATGAAAAAAAATGTTTGTGCCCCTATTTTTGTGAGTAGCCTAATTGTAACTAAATGAAACATCTGAAATAGCCATTTTTGTATATATATTAGGCTATATTAAAAAACAAATATGAACTTTAGTATGGTTAACAATTTTTAGGATAGCCTCAAGTCATAATTTTAATAGGAATAGTTGTAAAATCACTCAATGCTACTATCACTCAGCAGGCCTATTACAATGAAATAAAAAAATGTTGTTAAACAGATACAAATCTATTTTTCCTACAGTCACCCGACAAAGTTGGCTTCATTGTACTGTTTATAGTACAGAAAGCTGCTAATTGCTGCATATTTATACTTTGCCGTACGGTTTATACTTTGCCGCACATCAGGATTCCAACGAAACAACACAAAACAGCGTGGTTCTATTATACACGTAATCCGTTTACGCTTGGAAATAGGTTGGCAACGTTTAAAGATAATAATACTATGAGCAGCTGATTGACTATTATAACTACGATTTAACCTGTAATTTCGTATTTATAGTTTCGGTATTTCTGAACTTTTCATTTAAACGTTTTTAAAACATTCCTACGATCTTAATAAACAAGAAAATACCTTTAAAGCATTTTTTTTAGGCGCGGAAACCACTTCAAATTACAAAAACATACGGAACTATATTCTCAAAACGCGGAGCACATTTCTTGCCGAGGAAAAATAGCGGAGTGATACGGACCGCGGGTACTACTTTCTCTAGGGCACCATTTGTGTTGCCAGCTGAACCTAAAAACGTGTTGTATAGTGTTTGAAAGACTTATAGATATAGACTTATAGATTTATATGCTTTATAGTGACTGTAGGAAAAATATAATGTGTAACACGAGTGAAAAAGGTCTTTGCTGCACTCGAGATCATTCCGCACTCGCCTGTGGCTCGTGCGTAAACATTGCTCTCGTGTGCAGCAAAATGCCACTTTCACCACTAGTTACACAAATAACTATTTTGTACCTAAAGAAAATATTGCAACAAACAACCTGTAAACAACAACACGCACATGGCAACCAACACATTGTCTTTTTCTCAAAATATCTGTAAACATACAAACAAAGGTAAGGTTATAAAACAGACACCAGAAGAAAGGTTTTCTGCTATTTACAGAGATATGGATATAGTCGAAATTGACTGAGTTAAAAGACAATATGTAAACCGTCTTCATTACCATTGATGTTTGACACTGGTTACAAGAACATTAGAACAAAAACCATCAGCAAAACAAAATATATATTTTTCCAAACAAAGTTATTGCAAGTATTTATTTAATTCATTGTGACGTCTCAACCTTGTAAAATGTTCTGTGATCCTAGACATATTAAACACATTTAGTATTCTTACTAAGCAATTAGTTGGACTACATAGGTTAAAATTGTATTGAGAACTTTGGTTGTTACGTTCAAAGTTAAATTTTACTACTAGGCCTACTTAAATATTTTTGTCAAACATTATCTACTTAACAAAAATCAATATATAATTAGCTAATCAGTTCTTATATATTTAACACAAAGCCACCATTTTATCTGCCACTTTTATAGGTACAAGTTTTTTTTCTCTTACCAAACAGTAGGTTCAATCCAGTTAGGCTGGGTTCTACTGTATAATAAAATATGATAATATGATTTAGTATAATTACACGTACATTATTTTACATACGTTTTACTAACAATACATTTAAAGCTGTGAACAAATATTGATCAAATTTTATTTTCAGTTCTGTCAGCATAATAAATTATATAGGTAGTTAAAGAAATTAATGGTGAAAACGTTTTTAAAACTTCAATCTAAATTACTACAATAACACTTTAAAATATTTACAGTCTTTCAACTATTTACAATCTATTCCTGTTCAATTCAATAAACAGTCAACAAACTTATTTATACTCGCAAATCGTCAACTTACGAGAAAAAAGAATCCAACTTCAAATTATTAGGGTCAGGTTTGAGTTTTTTGGCAGTGGACGCAGCAGCAGCTGACAGATTCTTCTTCTTTGTCAACTTTTTAAACCTATCAAACTTTGGAAACGCAAAGTCGTCACTTCTAGAGTGTCCGCCCAGACCGTTGTACACCGTCTCTGAGCCCTGGCCGGACTGCGACAGTTTGATAGAGTCTGGGTCCAGAGCTCTGTTGGGTTTCTGGAAGATACTCATCGGTGCTTCCTTCCGTTTCCGGATAGCAATGCCTGGAGATGGCGGTGAGTAACTCATCTTTGAGGGCTTTGATGGTGGTGACACCTAAAATTATTATAAGTAGATTAAAATGAGTTTGTAAATACAAATAAAAATTACTTTTTCAATATGTGAATTATACAAGTAGCAGTTAATCATTGAAAACTGATCAGTAAAATCAGACTGCATTAGATTTTCATCATAATTTTAAATTTAACTATCAGAACAGTTTAAAATCTATTCTGGAGGAAGTTATCTTTTTAAGAATTTCAAAGTGTTATATTAACTCCCTTTATTTCTAAGAACTGTTTAATTTTATATATAACCTACCGGTACATTTAAAAATTTATGTAACTTACAAGCATAAGTTCAGCTGAACTTGAATAAGATAAATCAAAACTAATACCCAACACAAATTTAGATAGCGGGTTGTACAATTGTATGAGTAGGATTTTATCACTGTTTCAATATATACAGCATACATTTACATTTACATATTAATTAATTGTTTATTATTGAGAATGTGTTGGATATTCAGCAACGTTACTGAACCCTGCAGTTGAATTTCATATTTCTGAATTTTATAAGGTAGCAAATGTTATGGAACTTGAAACGCATCAACCCAACTTCATAAAAGTTTTAAAACAAATGCACAATTAATTAATTAACTATTCCCTCTACTTCTAGAGGACTACTCAGACTTTTCACCTTCAATTTTCTGAAACAACATTTTTGAAACAAAGTAGCAGCATATGCTAGGGATGAGACTACAAAGTAAATAAGGGATGGATTTTCTACAACATTAAGGCTTTACTAACAGCTTAAGACTGATTGTCTGAGATGTGGGGTGAAAAAAAAGTCAAATTACCAAAGGGAACTGACTCCCCCAACACCCCAAACACTATTTCCCACCAGTAAAAAATATTGGTTGCCTCACCACAAACGAGTTGTCTAGAGAGTTAGCGATGTTGGCAGGGGCTGGATTCTCTTGCAGGAGTCGCCGCAGAGCCTTGTCTCGAGGGTTAGACTCCCCGGGAGACGATATGGCACTCTGCAACTGTTTGATCTTCTGCTTCAAACTGGCAATGTCCTCCTCACTGCATGCCACGTCTTCTTTCAGTTTCCTGTGGCATCAACTACAGTGTTACTACTATTAAAAACTATATTACAATTCCTAAAATCAAATTTGGAATGCAAAATGAGTGGATTTAACTCTTTCCAGCACGGAAAATAAAGGTGTCAGGTGATCCCCAACCTGCATGGAATTTTTTTTTTTTTTAATGTTTGTAAATACTTTATAATTTTGTGTTTAGAACCATACTAAGTTTATAAGGTTATATAAAAATGCATTAACAATTTTTTGTTGTTATCAGTTAGTGATAAAAGGGAGTTACACATGTGTAACACCGTGCAGCAAATGGGACATATTTTATTGAATCCAATAAATATTAAAATTCAAGTTAGAGGGTTTCTTTAGGGATATCATAAATACAAATGCAAATTACAATATAAGAGAGTATATATTTTACAAATATACAATATAAAGCATTACAACATCATATGGAGACCTGAATAAATGTAGTAAAGAAAATTCACACACTGATAAATGTAAAAAATCTTATAAAATGTAAAAGTTACTTAGCCAAAACAAAGTACAGTCCAACCTCAGTATAACGAATCTGAAGGGACCGAACTGAATATTTGTTATATCAAGGATTTCGTTAAAATGAGGTTCGTTATATAGAGGTTAGGTTTGCAGGAATTTCGCTAAGTCAAGGTTCAGAACCAGCGTCGGTCAATATAGGCCGGGATTTGACCTCAATCAATATAAAACACAATTAAAGTAGCATAGGCTACAATACTTTACAGTACAGTGTTCTTTGTACAGTAGAACCTTCTTTATCCAATAGTCAATGGAAGAACCTAAATTATCCGGCATAATAAAGGTGAGGGATCTTGAATATTGCGCAATCATGACAATGGCATTGACCTTGGTACAGGTTAAAAACTGTAAGTTTAAAATCACAGCTTGTTCTAACCCTCCTAAAACCTAGCCAAACACTACATTGCGTAGTCATAAACCATGTAAAAACAAAACAAAACAGTAGAAAGTTTTGTAAGCTACTGACGGCTCCGTGATAGGCCGATAGGCTACTTACAGTACAGTACTGATTATTCTTTCTCTTTGCTTTTGTTTTTATATTCTTTCTTAGATTTCTCTTTATCCAAAATGTGTACAATTCACCATATTTACTTCTCACCCAATCACAGCTTACTACAGATTACGTCGTCATCAGTCCTCAGTTAATGAAATCAGTTCCCAGTTGCAACATTGCGTGCGCAGCGACAGCAGACAGAGAGATGTGTAAAACGGAGCAGACGAATGTTAGCGCAAGCGATGACGTCACCTTTCCATTTCATTTGATTAAGAAACAGATTTTCCAAAAAACAATACTGGGGTGGGGGATTCGTTATATCAAGGGAAAGACATAGCCAATTCGTTATGCAGAGGTTAAATTCGCAATGTAGAGGTTCTGACAATCATAAATTCGTTATATTGAGGTGTCTTATTTTAGCCGAAATCACGAAAAATTCGTTAAATCAAGGTCGTTGTTATGGTTTGTTCGTTATGTAGAGGTAAAATATATATAGTCTCTTATGGAGAGTTCTAGGGGATTAAAAAAATTTCGTTATATCAAGGAATTTGTTTTATTGAGGTTCGTTATATCAAGGTTAGACTGTAATATAAAGGCCAATTTATATTTAAGTAATATAAACATAAATTTAAAGGCAGGTTTCAATAAAAAAATGTTCCAATATGCCCAAAATGTATCCTAAAATGTAATGACATAAGAAAAACTATCAATATCGAGCCAAAAATATAACAAAACCTATTTATAATGTCATATTATTTATAAAAATGCATAAATGCAACTAAAATTAAGTTTCTTGAAGATTTTATAGTTAATTTATTATTTATGGATAGATATATTTGGAACGCTGAGCTGCATGGTGTTACATTTGAGTAACGCACTTTGAAAACTCAAAATACATTCTTCTAGTTCACTGTTTTTATGACTCTAAACTATTACAAGGGACGCTATTATAACAGTACATTACAAAACAGCATAGGAATTATATAATCAATAACAGCATATCTTTCATTTGCATAAAAATAAAGACGGGATCTTGGGCACGAGTCTTTCACCAGGAACAGCTGTTTTCTAGGAGTTATTTGTCAAAATGTAACAAATGGATGGTGCTGCCACCTAGCAAAGGTCCATAGTACTAACATTTAAAGTTTCCAGATGCACAGCGCTAGTAGTCTCGTTTACAAAAAATAAAATGTCTCGCGTTACAAAGATGTAACACCGTGCAGCAAAGAAGTCAAAAAGTCTGTTACATAAATGTAACACTGTGCTTGAAAGAGTTAAGGATATAGGTATTGCAAAAACTAGTTTTTTTTTTGGTTTTTTTTAATATGTAAAAACTTATGGTAGGCAACCTTTATGTAATTTAGAATCCATGGCCAGTGAAAGAAGTCGGTACATTAAAATTTAATTTGATGGATGTGTAACTACTATTTCCGTTACCAGTATAAAGAAAGTTAATCAACAGCACTGAATCTTTTAAAGCAAACTCTAGATATAATTGAAAAACCAGGCCTTTTTGGTTACCATTCGTCCCTCCCCTAAATCTTACAGGCTTTAAAATTACACCTGGATCAAAAAATGAGTTATGTAAGTAGGAAGATTTAATTATTAAATATACTGTTACCTTTTTTAATATCCCTAGTTTTTGTTAGGTCAGGACCGGTTTCGTGACGACAGTTACATCATCAGGTCAATCCTTGTATAACAAATCGTTAAATATACTTAAAGTTTATTCCGAACACAAAACACATTATATTAACAAAGTACGCCTATTTACAGTTATTTTCCTGCAACAGGCTCGACGTAAGCATGCACGTATTACGATGGTTTCTGTCTCAGTTCCGGAAAATAACTGTAAATACTTTGTAAAATATCATGTGTTTTGGGTTCAGTATAAACTTTAACTTTATATCCTTACCTTTGTCAGTAGTCCAAAATTGTGTCTAACTTCAATTATTATTTAAAGCCATGACATGTATTGTTGCAATGCAACATCGTCGAAGCTTCACGTCAAAAAAATCCAAATTTACACATAAGACAGTACAAATACAATACAATACACGGGACAATTAAACAAGATAGTCCTATCATGACACGGCGCAGCAGCGTTTGTAGGTAGACTCTACCTACAACCGCTGCTGCGCCTTGTCATGATGGCGCTATCATGTTGTATTGTGTTTAATTGTCCTGTGTAGTGTATATGTGGACTACTGTCTTATGTGTAAATATATTGTTTTTGACGTGAAGCTTCGACGATGTTGCATTGCAACAACACATGTCAGCTTTGAATAATAATTGAAGTTGAACACAATTTTGGACTACTGACGGAGTTAAGCCTATAAAGTCATATATATACATAGTTCAGGGGCTATCAGAATGAATAGGCCTACAATAAACTTTAAGTGTATTTAACGAATCGTGCTACGAGAATTGGCCTGATGTTGTGACCGTCGTCATCTAACAAAATCAAAGGATATTGAACAGGTAGATTTATTTAATAATATATATCTTCAATATCCAGTAATAGGAAAATGAACTCTAGGTAGGAGAAGTAAAAAAAGGATGTTACAGAAAAACCCCCTATGTACTATACTCCGTTCACAAAATTAAGGCGCTTTTAGAGGAAGAAATCTATACACTTCCCTTTAAAATAGTAGCTCAACAGCTGATTAAATATTATAAGCACAAAAAAGTGGTGTGGGAACTTCCCCTCAAAATGCCTAAATTTTGTGAACAGAGTATAATTATATAGATTAACTTACTGGTTAACTCTCTTATAAATTGATATGTCTTCGTTAAGTTTCTTCACTTCGGCTTTTAGCTTGTTAGCCTCTTTTTGGCTGGATACGAGCAATTCTCGAAGTTCGAGCTTTTGATGCTTGGAAGCTTCAAGTTCCCTAAAATACAAATGTCCAACTTTATTTCTATAAGGTGGTTAGTCCATGAAAAAAATGAGAAATGATCAAGCATTATAATGCATTCTTGCTGACCAACCAGCCAAAAATATGATACCGTTCATCGACATAGTAAAAATCTCTGAAATTTGAAATTACTAGTGGACTTGTAAACTATTACACTTGAAATGACTGTTTAACAGCTATTTACCTTACAAGTGTAGTAAGAGCGTTTTTACATCACGCAGGTGAATGTTGTGCAACGAGTGGAAGCGAGTTGCATAATTTACCTAAGTGATGTAAACACGCTCTTGCGTAACGTGTAACGTACAAGATTTTACCTGACCCGACAATATACAGGAGGTTACGAACAGTATTTTTCACTATCCATTTCACTCATCTTCTAACAGTAACGTTCATTTACAAACAAAAGCTAGGTTAGGAAAATTCTTCAAAACATAACAATAAAATTCAAGCCCACAGCTGATTTCTAGCGTTGAACGTCGTTGGCCGTTGGCTCCATAGAGGTATATTTTTTAAGTTAAGCACTCAATGTTATTTAAATGGGTTTCATTACATCACCGAGTGAGTTTTTTTCAACTTTACATCACTCGAGAAGTAAGGAAGTTGTATACATCACGCTTGGGATAGGGAAGTTTAACATGGCGGGTTAGGTAAAAATTATTTACAATTAATTAAGTAATTACCTTATCAGGAAAGTTTTAGCCAACTCATTTCGTGAACTTAAGTTCACTGTCTGTAAAGAAGTGCCAAGCGTAGCAGAGGGTAGGTCTCAAAGAAGAAACGACATTCTTACATGAGCAATGAATATGTATGCTTGCTGTTAATGTTATTTTTTTTTATTATATAAATTAGAATTTAAACAAAAATGTTCAATCAGCTGTTTTAATTTTAAAGAAACAGGTACCTTTCCATCCGTATTGATACGCTGGAAAGTTGTCCTTTGCCGTGCTTACACACAGAAAAGTAACGTAAAAAAACAACGTTTGACTTTTACCGTGCACTTAGTCAGCTGATGAAATAAACAGCCAATTGCAACAGCCTATTTTTTCTGAAATATACAAATATTAAGATTGTGTTATGAGTTTAAAATGTTTTAATTTTTCTTTGTAGTATGATGTTAAGTATCGTACATTACTCGCCCGGTAAGCTTTACCGTACTTGCACAAAAATCACACACTTGGCTTCGCACGGCAAAACACCACTTACCGGGCTAGTAACGTAATCCTATAGTATAATACGAGCTAAGTCTGTTTGTCTGTCTGTAATATATATATCTCGAAATACAGCGGAAGGATGTTTACAAAATTTTGGAATGAGGGACTTATAGCCCTAAAAAACATGATTGGTGACTGCCACTACCTCAGGAAAATTTTTATTTCGCTACACAACTCATTTTAAAATTTAAAAAATTAACATTGGCCTTATGGGTTGCTAAGTAGCTATGTTAGTTGAACAAAATAACAAGGAAAAAGTAAATAAAATACTTGTAACGCAACATGTGTTTACAACAAGCCATCTACAGTATACTAGGAAATTGCAAAATACAGTACAAAGGGAAAAACATCAGTTGACAATGGTTGTACCTATTGAGCAAACATTACACTGAAGTATACTTGACATAAAATAGAGTGAATGTTTCTTATTGGTGACGTTTGAGTGCGTTAACTCAATGTTTCACTCTTATTTAAAGGTAGATTTAAAAATGTTTATTCACTCTTTTATTGTTTACATGATTTAGACAGCTGTATTCAGTTGAATCTATATATTAATTTGAAACTGTTTTTCTTTGTCACAGCTATTTTGAGAGAACGGCTAGGCGTAGAAACTCGGTAGAGGTGTCTAAAGAAAGGTCTTGGTCTGTAGATGAGCCATCAAAAGAGAAACGTGGTAAATTCCCTTGGGGCTCTGCCCCAGTGGCCTTTGAATTCCCATCCCATGTTATTCTTATGGAGGAAAAACTGGGTTTTTGTCCCAGCTAATTTGAGAGAACGGCTGGGCGTAGAAACTTGGTAGGGGTCTCTAAAGAAAGGTCTTGGTCTGTTGATGAGCCTTCAAAAGAGGAACGAGGTAAATTTCCTTGGGGCTCTGCCCCAGAAGCCTTTAAAGTTGCCTCTTCAGATTTGTTTACATTACGACCATATGCATAATTTTACACTATTTTTTAATGAAACAGCTGTAAATATTTAAATTGTGATTTACTGAATTTGTCAAAATGAAGTATTTGCAAAGGTTTTTTCTGATTTTAAAATCAATTTTCTTCTGCATCGTGTCATGTTTTGCAATATAATGTTGTAATGTTATAATGTGTAATCCAAATCAGTGGAAAATCCTAATATCACAGTAACTCTTAAAATTATTTCTTATGGAGTTAACTTATGTCTATTGTATTAGGTTTGGTTTCTGCCTTTTGTTACCACTTCTTGGAGATTGTACGTAGGCGTGTTACACGTAGATGATATTCTTTGGCGTATTGCATCTGTAGGCGATACTTGGGTTGGTGTATGTAATTATTACAATGGAAAAAATCCTGGACAATTTAATATGGGCCTACTAAAAATAAAACTGAATTAGAAGAAATAGAAATAATGTTTTTTTTTTCATTTATAATCGTTATTATAGAGAACCTAATGCGGCTATGAGTGGGAAACATTTGTAGAAAACTCTAAAAAACAATATCAGCTTTTGAAAAAAGATAAGATATTTACAAACAATTTCGATTATATCTAACTGTTGTGTACGTCGTGAGTATTTCCATAATCTTTGAGTCGACTTTTATAAAGTCATCGGAAATTATGACCGTTATTCGTTTTAAAATAATGCCTGTAATTCTTCGCAATTGCTCGAATTCAAGCAACAGGTCCACTAGTTAGTAATAAAGTCAATTGTATTACAATAATCTTTATGGTAAGCAATATGCGCTTGAATCGGACATATCAGATATGTCTTCAGCTAAGTTAAGCCAACTAGGACCATTTAAAAAATAAGTAGACTCTAAGGCCTGAATTGTCCTAAAAATCTTGTGATTGTGTCTAAAACACACCATAGGTTACTGGAGGTGCTAATTATCAAGCATCTGTTTAACTTACTTTTTGAAAGTAGACACACACATGCTGAGAGTGGTTGGGTCGAGGGCAGTCCTAATCAATATCTCCTCAGTGTCAGTAGCCGAGCCATGCAACAGCTCTTCCAGTCTGAAACAACAAAACATATATAATACTACATACAACTGTTGGATGTACTAAAATTCTTGCAGTACAGTATTCAACACGGTACTTTGGTATTATACCGACCACACCCAAATTAGGTTAGGTTACCACACCTTGGTTAGGCTAAGCTAGGCCAGGCTAGGTTAGGTTAGGTTAGGATAACCGGAAGATAACCTAACCTAATATAACCCGGGAAGCGAGATGGTGTAGTGGTTTGAGCGCGAAACTTCGATCCCTGAGGTCCTGGGTTCAAATCCCGCCAAATCACCAAGGGATTTTATCTAAGTGATAATGCCGCAACCCTAATGTCTACCCAGAAGCAATGTGAAAAACAATTCCGGGCTCTGCCTAGCGTCCTTGGACAAAAAAAAAGGCTAATCCAACCCAACCTAAGGGAAACCAATTTAGGTGTGGTCGGTATAATAACAAAGTACCTTGAACACTACCAATACATAAAGCATAAATTAATAAACCTAAAAAAGTCAAAATGTGTGAGTTTAGCTTCGTTCACATGACTTAAGGGTTTCTTAAACTTGTATGAAGAAATATCCTGAAGAAACAGCAAGCCACTTGATGATATTGATGCCATGCTAGTTGTTAAAGAGACATGAAATACATTTTTCAAAACTAATTTTAGGTCATTAAAGACATGGCAATACATAGAAGGACGCTACAAAAACTGAACACCAAAAAACACAACACATGGTTCCATTGTATTTTAATATTTCAGTGCATCCAATAGAGTGTATGACAAGACTTGCGTTTTATTGGATTAACACAAGTACCAGCTACCTGGAACCTTGATATGAAGAACCTCGATAACAAGCCACCCTTGATGACAACAGCAATTTTCAAATCCCCTTGAAATTATTTTACCCCTAATCACATGTTACTGCAAACCTCAATAAGAAGTCAACCTTGAAAACAAGTCTTATTTAATAATTCCCATGAGAGTCTCGTTATCAAGGTTCTACTAATCAGCCCTTAGATACGAGGTAACAGTTGGTAGAGAACGGGAGGGGGGGTTACATAAAGAGTAAGCCAAATTAACTGAGTACAGTGTAGGACTTCAACTCCTATTCCAAACTCCAACATACAAAATTGCCAATTATCCAAATTCCTTACAGAAAGAATTTTTTAAATCTTAAACTACAGTTAATCTATAATATTAAAACGAAATAGTGTTTTTTTATTTCACGATTCTGAATCAACCACTCGACGGATTTTCATGATTTTTGTGTTGAAAGAAAGATAATTTTGAGAACTAGGGAATGTCGAAGCCATAATTTTAGTTTAGGGCCCCAGTTTTTTAGAAATTAAGTTTTTATTTTTAAAAAGTCTAGCAGCCGACGCTTAGATTCTAAACTAGCTTTTGGCATAAAATAATTTGCTTAACATAACAGCTGTAAACATTCAGCTTTTGTGTCACAAATTCAGCATTTGGATAAAAATGTAAAGACATACGTAGGGTTGACTTATTTATACTATGTGTAATGCTAATCATTGATACGTTCAACTCTTCTGTAAGAGGATGACAGATTAATTAAATATACATACTAAAATACTAAGATGTTCAAAATTATTTTTTAAAGCAATCTTTGTAATCTTCGATTTGTTTTAGAGCAATTTAATTTGTTTTAACTAACAGCTGGTTAAATATAAACTATGGAACTATGAGGTTATTTTATTTAATCTTATTTTGTCATTGATTATAGGAAATAAGTAAGATTATTAGAGATAATTAGAACACAGTTTAAAATAGTTTAGACCAAAATTAATTAAACCACAGTACAAATCGAGGCTCTGTACACAAGTCTTAATAAAAAAGGATAGATGCAAATTATTTTACTGCTCTACTTTTCAAGGAAAGATTAGAAAAATAACAATGTTTACATGTTTTAATTCTTCATGGTAGCTTTTTGTTTACAATAAATGTTTGTCTGCTTTATCTTTGTTTGGATTAGGCCCAGAAATATTGATGTCATAAAAAGAAGATCAAGAATAATCAGGAATCACGATTTTAAATTACCACCACAACCTCAGCCGGGTTTTATACAAAGATAAACAGATGGATAACATAGATTGAAACAACGTCAACATTGACCTAGGATACTGCAATTAGACAAACCATCCTTTTATGAAATCGTGTTCAGTTGTGGTTACGTTTGGGGGTGCCTATATCAGCGCCCCTAAACGTGAAAATATCACTTTTATTTCAACTATGAATATATTGTAGTTTAAATTAACTAATATGGGAAATTACGATGTACATTTATTCGTTGAGTAATTATCAAGGATAGAACTGATAACGGTATGGATAATAAACATTGACAATTACGTCATTAGCTTTACTAGCGTGTTTACTTTTTACATTCCTGCTACATGTAACCAGTTCTTTTTTTCAAATGAATGTTATTTGAACCAAACAGCTGTTTCAAAACAAACTGTTATGGTTTTTACTTTTCTTTGTTTACACTTATTTATTTAGCAATTAATGCAGTGAAATTGATATAAAGGATAGGTGTGACGTTTTGATGTTAGAACACCAAAGTTAAATTATGTGTACTGTGAATTTTATTGGATATTATCGTTTTATTTTAGGTCGTTTCTATTCAGACCTACTGGAAATTGTGTATAGTAGTTGTATTGTGGTGATAATAATTATGGAAGAGTCAGGTATGCTATGGAAGGTGGTATCGTTGAGGTTACCTCCCGCTATCTCCGCGTCCCGCCACCTCCGTGTACCGCTACCTCCGAATTTCAGAGTGACCCCAATAATCCTCGGTTACTTCCTGCGTTAAGACTTTCCGTCCAAACCTAACCTAACCTAACTTAACTTAACCTAACCTAACCTAACCTAACTTAACCTAACCCACGGGTTAAATTTTGATTAAATCTTCCATCCATGGGGCTTCCCAGCCGTGGATGCAATGACAGCTAACAACGCAGGCAGTGACGGGATTATAAGGGTCACTCAAGAATTCGGAGATGGCGGGACAGATTTGGGTTCGGAGATGGCGGAACGCGGAGATAGTGGGAGCACACGGTATCGTTGACTAGGTCTATACACTTCTCAATTGACTATTACTCTCTCTACTGTAGGCTACTTATAATCAGTGTGCGTCTGTGCGAATCAGCTGCAAATCTCACTTCAACGCTTTTCACATCGTAAAAATTGCAGAATTGCTGTTGTATTGTAAAATTATCGGATTTAAAATGCATATGGTATAGGCCTATGATGGAATAAAAACATATTTGGTCACACAACATTTGTTTACAAGATGATTTTTCACATTAAAACTGCAAGAAACTTTGTCTTTATTATGTGTAAACTAGCTGATCTGAATTGTACACGGTTTTAACTGACTACTGAATTCCCATACGTAGGACGGGCTAACACCTCGTAAGAATTATTTTTAAAGAAGGCAAAAGCTCTGATAGCAGCATAATGTTAAGTATCTCCTGCGGTCATGTACATATTATCATCTTCTCCCGGTGTCTCAGAAGCATCATCATCGTCTTTCGTCTTACGTGACCACGATAAAATAATAATAATGATTTTAATGATGTTGCATAATAAACAAAGTTTACAGATAAATGTAAAGCTTCTATTTGTCATTCTTCTTAAAGGCTAATATTTTTAATGGCTCATTCTTAGAACTAAATAACGGTCTTAAAAATATTTATTAATAATCAAAAAATTGAATGTCTCCCACGGGCGTGTAAGTTAGACATCATTATCATCTTCCATGTTCACGGCAAAATTTTGTTTTGAATTAAAATATATGAATATTTAATGCGTTGAAATTTATCCAGAGAAGATGTAAACTTCACTAATCGAAGACATCACTAAGAATTTTAAAGTAGGCCTAACCTATTTTTTAAGTAAATTTTAATCAGATATTTTATTTTCTAGTTATCAAACGATTAAATTAGTGCGTAGCTACAAAAATTCACAATTATAGAGTAATTTTTTGACTGATGGTAAAAATAAACACAAACCCTTTGTAATTATCAAGTTGTTTCCTTAGTTCATCGGCTTCCAGTTTGTACTCGTTGAGCTGCTTGCATTCCCGTTTCAAAGTCTTGATCTTCTCCAGGTAGCTATAAGTTTGCTGTTGGTGAATATTGAGCTCATCTCGCATTTTCTTCACCTCTTCCCTGTAAATTAAAATCCAAGCTTTAGTTGAATATTACTTTCTTCCACATTTAGGCCCTATCTTTTTTTTCAATCAATTATATTCCCAATAACTAGAAGATCCAATAGAAGAAGGCTCTGAGTCATACTGTATTTTCCAATTTTCACTTTTAGTTAGTTGGTTTAACATAAATGATTTCCTATCGTGTTATTAGTTTACTTACAAGGCAGTAACAGTAAATTACATTCGCTTCTTGAATCTAACACTTCAAAACATCCAAATTTATCCATGTTTGCCTCCTGGATTGATAATGAGTAATAATAATAATAATAATAATAGGTTAAATACCTTATTTACGTCCTCAATCCAAGTCGTCTTTTTATAATGGCCATAGTTTCGAGGCCAACAGCCCCATTGTCAAATTTTCTGTCTTGTTAAATTACTGTTAATAGCATTGGTCATCGTTGAAGTTCACATATACAAATACACTGACACACAAAACATTTATATTTACACATAACATTGAGAATTTATACTTTTTAGCGTCTCCAGGGTATCGACTAACATGAATCAGTCAGTCAGTGTACCGGTCCGCACAACGTTAGAGACACTTTTGTTTAGGTCGGCCAAAAGTTCAAATTCTCAATGTTACGTGTAAATAAATATAAATGTTTTGTGTGTCAGTGTATATGTGAACTTCAACGATGACCAATGCTATTAACAGTAATTTAACAAGACAGAAAATTTGACAATGGGGCTGTTGGCCCCGAAACTATAGTCATTATAAAAAGACGACTTGGATTGAGGGCGTAAATAAGGTATTTAACCTATTATTATTATTATTACTAGTAACATTTAAAGTTAAAGAATATGGTAAGCCATTACTTTCATGATGAGCTCTACCTAAATATTTGCTCACAAATAAGATTAGGCATATAGCTTTGAATGCCTGTCAACTACTATTTTTTTGCTTAATTAAGTTAGAGCGATAGGATTCTTTTGTAAGGACGATCACCAACATTTCAAGTTCTGGCGTTCCTTATGCCTACTGAAGTAATTTTTATTGAGTGTACAACAATAAAAACAATGAAACCTAAATTTCTTCTTGGTGAAAGTGATTGTGCTTTAAATGCTTGTGGAAAGTCTTTATAAAATTGGCAAGGCAACATTACAACATTTTTTTAGGGGAGAGGGACCGATATCTTACTCTAGGATTCAATAAAAGTGACTTCTTTGCATTATTAGAGTAAAACATTAGGCCAAAATACAGTTTTGATGAATATAAAGTGCACAAATTTATTTTAGAAGAATTATGTTCTCGAAAGTCTTTACAAAGTACAAAGTACTTTTGGGTGACTTTACTTACCTCAACCCTTTGGTCTGGAACTTGAGTTTGTCATTATCTTCTTTCTGATTTTTCAGATCTGTATCCTTCAACTTTATTTGGAAATTGAGACTGTCGACTTTATTCTGTAGTGCTGATGCATCGTCCTGGGAGCAGTTAAAGTTGCTTGGAACACTGAAGTAAACTTTCACGGCATTTTTTGGTCTCTGCTTTTCTCTGCACTGAGGGCATGTTGGTGACCTAGAAATTGTAAAAATACTATAGATAGCATTAGTTTGTTACTAGATAGTCATTAAATAATCACTAAAGACTGTGTGTATGAAAAACTTAATCAAGTCAACCACACACTACACTGACATTTTCAAGAAATGTCCCTACTATTTTTGGATTTAACTTCAACCTAGATTTTAAGCTGACTGATTTAAAAACTTTAGTTACCGGTAATAAAATATTGATTTATTTTATTTTATTTTTATTTTATTTTATTTTATTTTATTTTCATGCTTCAATACAGTTTAAAGACCATTTACATTGAAGCAGTTCATGCACTTATAATATTATTGCTTCAGTGGGTTTCTCCTTGTCTTTTCACTTCATTTTTACTTACACTTACATGCCATGCATTTAATACTAACATAAAAACAAAATTATCAATAACTATAACAACAATGTATATATATTTAAAAAGATTAACAATGATAAATTATATAAATATATAAATACTGAGTAGTAAAAATAAATAGAACAACGAAAAATATATAAATTAACATTTACTGATTGATTAATACTGTTTTTAATTTCAATTTGAAATTGTTTATGTTGTCAGAGAAAATATCAATATTATTGCACTTTTTTATTACGTAATTGTAGTCTTTCATTAATCGATAGAGGGGGGAGGAGGCATGGGCAGTGGTGCGGCTGTAGGGCAACGAGAAGAGATGTTTGTTTCTACTATTGAAGCAGGGTACGCGATAAGACAGGCCGGCCAGGCTAGCAGCGTCGTCAACCTCTCCACGCGCCAGTTTGTACAGGAACACCTGACCTATGATCGTTCTCCTCAGATCTAGACTCTGCAGCCCAAACAGTTGTAATAAATCATGGTATGGAACATCGTACGTATAAATATTAAAACATTTGTAAAATAAGAATCTTAAAAACTTTTTCTGGACTTTCTCTAAAGCATCTTTAAACTGTAAATGATATGGATTCCAAATTATGGAACAGGTTTCTAATCTTGATCTGACCAGCGAATGATAAAGCATAATTAATGTTTCAATGTTTCTAAAATTTGTACTTTGTCTAATTATAAACCCCAACATTTTACTTGCAGCAGCAATGCATGTTTCAATATGAAAATTAAAAGATAGTGCAGAATTCATGTGAACACCTAAATCTTTAATTTTGTTTACTCTACTAATTAAAATGCCATTTAAAAAATAGTCATTTCGTAAAAAATTTGTAGTCCTAGTAAAAGTCATTAGTTGACATTTAGAAACATTAAAAGTCATTTTGTTTGAAACACTCCACCTATAAACATTGTCAAGATCTTCTTGTAAGCTATTTGCATCATCAAGACTATTGATATGCTTAAACATTTTTAAATCATCGGCAAATAGAAGTGAATTTGAATTTAAAATACAGTCACTTAGATCATTAATTAGTATTGTAAAAAGACAAGGCCCTAGATTCGAACCCTGGGGAACCCCAGATTGGACATTGAATACAGCAGAGGAAAATCCATGATAGAAAACAAATTGTTTTCTATTAACAATGTAAGATTTGAAAAAATGCAATAAATCATTTGACATGCCATACCAATGCAGTTTCTGCAACAAAATTGAATGGTCAACCTTATCAAACGCTTTGGCCAGATCAAGAAATAACGTGTCTGTCTGAGCCCCAGAATCCAGACCAGAGGAAACGTAACTAGTAAAATTTAATAAATTTGTGTTGACTGATCTTCCTGGGACAAACCCATGCTGGTCATTTGAAATGTATTTTTGAAAATGTCTGAATAAATATTTGTGAATAATAATCTCAAATATCTTCGCCGGTACAGATAACACTGCTACCGGTCTATAATTTAAGACTTTGGATTTTTTTCCACTCTTAAAAATTGGAGTTACTTTGGTTGTTTTCCATCTTTCGGGAAATATATTAGTTTTCAAGCTTAAATTGTATAAAAATTCTAAAGGCCCAACTAAAAATTCAGAACAACCTTTAAATAAATATTGTGGGAGTAAATCTGGACCAGTAGTGCATTTTGATTTTAAATGTTTGATGGCGTCCTGCACATCCTGACAGCTGAGGCGAGGCAGTGTGAGGCAAGACGCGCCGGTCAGACACGGCCCCTCCACCGCGCACTCCACACTAGGCTCTGTAGTGTAACTCTCGTACACAGAACTAAAATATTCCGCGAATGCATTTACAACCGCTCCTCCGTTATCCAGTCTTACTCCATTGTGCTCCATTATCATAATTTTATTTCGTTCAGATTGTTTACTTTGAATAAAATTCCAAAACTTACTGCTATCAACATTTATACTATCTTCCACTCCATTTACATAATTGCGATATGCTAGATCAATTTCATTTTTTACTGCTGTTCTCTGGACTTTAAATAAGTTATAAGCTTCATCAGTGTTTACTTTTTTCCACCTTCTTCTAAGTTTTTCTTTACGTTTTAAATTGTAAATAATAGAAGGAGTAAACCAAAAGGGATATTTTGCTTTTTTATTTTTCTTTAATGGACAGTTTTTATCAATTATTTCATAAAGTGTGCTATAAAAACAATCTAGAGCATCATCGACGTTCAAAATAGAATATAAATTTGACCAGTCAGCCTGTTGTAAATCTTCGTATATTTGTAGAAAATTGGCTCGTCTGAAACAATAACCAGCTGACTGGGTTGACCTTGAACGACCAGATAACGGAGTAGCCAACACAACAATTACCTCCAAAGCCGGATGATAAAGATCTTCACTAACTAATTGTTCACCGCTTCTCGTCACCACTACTTCCTCACAATTTGATATGACTAAATCCAATGTCTTATTTTGAAAGTTACGAATATCATTCTTTAAACTTAAACCATGCAAATTCAAAAAAATAAATAATTCTTTACATATATTGTCACCTTGATCCAAGCAAAAGTCCTGACCATAGATTGAAATATTAAAATCACCTAATACAATAATATCACAGTTCGATAATGAATTTAACTGTAAAAAACAATCAAAAAATCTTTGGTATACTACTAACGGTGACCTTGGCCTGAAATAAACAGTACAAATATACAATCCTCTCCCCTTGCTATTTACAACTTTTACACAAACACTTTCACAACCAGGAATTGAATCATTAAAAATGTCGACTACGTTACACAATATATCATTTCTTAAGGCTAACAATACTCCCCCTCCTCCCTGTCGGCCTGAAGTTTCTAAATTTCTGTCACATCTAAATACATTAAAACTATCAGGAAAAAATTCCGATGAATTAATACCAGGTTGTAGGTTTGTTTCTGTTAGAGACACAATTTTGTAATCGCTTGTTAAGATGTTACTAAAAAAAATGTTTGATTTTGTTCTCAGACCTCTGACATTTTGGTAGTAAACTATATTATCAAAATCATTATTTACCATTAACAAGTTTTAATAAAAACATAAATAACATAGAGAAAATTCCTATTTTTTTTTTTTTTTTTTTTTTTTTTTTTAATGGACTATAAATACAGCAATAAATAGAAATATAAATAATAAATAAAACATAACATTTAAGAAGTCGAAGAATAGCATGTATAAATAGATAAACAGAATTGTATTCATGCAAAAATAATTTAATTAAATGCTCATAAAGAAGTTTAACGTGCATTGTATATAAATTTGATGTAAATAAATTATGAAATAGATTATTAAAATATAAATTAAGCATTTGATTACTTACAATTACAGTCATTGTTTTACATGCTGTCAATATCCACGTCTGACCTAATCTTGATAGCATCAGTGTCCTTATTTCGTCGCACGAAGATGCTGCAGTTCGCCGTCCACACCTGGCTGTAGCCCTTGGCCTTCGCCGCATCACGCGTCTTCTTCAGCAGGTCCCTGTTCTCTGGCGTCAATGACTCGTTGACGTAGATCGAGTCTTCGCTGCTGAAGCCAAGGTCCGAAGCTTTAAGATTGCGGCGTTCTTTACGTTTATTTAAAAAAGCGTCCTTGTCCAGACGTCTGACGAAGCGAATGATGATAGGCCTCGGCGATGTATTCGTAGGTTCATACTTCCCCATTCTATGTACAGCATCAACTAATTTCTCCGACCAATCTTGGAAGTGTAGAGCAGTTGCTAACCGTCTTATAACGAACATAATTTTTTCATTGTTGTCCTCCGGGATACCGTAAATAATTAAATTGTTTCTATGTGAATACTGTTCAAGATCACGAACTTCACGTTGCACTTTCTCAACCGATTTCCCGAATTTATAAGTGTCCTTCTTAGTCTTCTGTACCTCGTTTTCACACTCTCTTATCTTCAAATCTTGAGTAGATATTAATTGTTTAAAGTCATTGATGGTTGCATGGCATAACTCAATAGATTCATAACTCAATTTAATTTAATTTAATTTAATTTTAATTTAATTTTTTAAATTTAATTTTTTTTTTTTTTTAATTTTTTAATTTAATTTAATTTTTAATTTAATTTAATTTTTTTTTGGCATAACTCAATTTATAGTCATTAGACTAGGTGGGGCCAAGCCCTAAGGTAAATTGAAGCATACTTCCAGCATGTTAGCTAACTTATACAACTTCCACCATAATACCAGTTGGAATTTGTATTACAACTGTTGCCTTCCTAGTGAAACGCTGACATAACTGTAAACTTCACTGACTTAAAACCACAAGGATCCATAGTCTTAGTGTTTCTTACTGTAAAGTACCACAATGTTTGGATCTCAGTAGAGGCTAGAGATGAGCATCAATGGACCAGGTCAATCATCAATTATGTGTGTTCTCCATCAATGGTAACATAACTATTCGCCATCAATTTACTGATAATTTAATAGTGAAAATCTCCATATAGTTTCGGTAGGTAGCCTACCGAATGATGTGTGTTTTTGCCTTGTTCAGCTAAATTTTAACTAACCACATTCCAAGTTTTAAACAAACAGCTTCACATTAGAAATTATAAATCTAACGATCAGTTATAATGGATTGTGTTAAAATTATTCCAAGGCGGAGTTTTCCATAGCTCTTTTATGCAAATTACTCTTTTCCAGGATAATAAATCACTACAACGAATGTAGGCTAAATTCAGCCACAGAAAATTAACTTATTGGTAGTTTTCCATAACATCGATATTTGATTTAACACCTGACATAGGTGTGAAGAACATTGATGTTTAAAAAACATCAGTTATCGGTGCTCACCCCTAGTACAGACCTATTAACCGTGGAAACCGGATGACCAGGCCATAAAATATCTTGGAATATGGCTGGACAAAAAACTTAATTGGAACTACCGCATCAATAAAAACTGTCCCAAGGTTATGCACGCCTTGCAAAGTTGTTTCCTTTGATCAATAGGAAATATACTCTGAAACCAGCTTACAGTTCTAAATTGAAATATTACCTTCATCAGCCAGCTCCTGTATTGTTACCAATGTTACGGCCGTTTCAGCATCACTGTTGACGAACGTAGGCCTACATATCCACACTCGAGCAAGTAGCTAAGTTCCAGCTGTTGGAAGCTGAGTCAGCTATTTGCTCGAGTGCGGAAATGTAGGTTCCTCAACAGGCCTGTTTTTTTAAACCCCGTTTTGACTACTTATGTGTGTGTTTCATGTGAAAAAATGTTTGTGTTATAATGACGCCTTTAGGCTGAACATCTGATGATGGCACAGTGATGCTGAAACGGCCGTAACATTGGTAACAATAGGCCTATAGGAGCTGGCTGAGTAAGGTAATATTTCAATTTAGTTATAGAACCAGCTCAGGGGCTAGAAAATATGGATTTTAATTACAGTTCTAATCTGCAAATCAATAATTCGGCGTTTGATAACATAATACAGCTCCTAGCTGCCTATCTGGGGACTAGCTATAGCCTAAAAAAAACAAACTCTTCAAAATTCAAGTGATCCAAAACAAAATTCTAAGAATAGAGGTAAATGCTCCCTGGTTTATTAGAAACAGGCATACATGAAGGAGTGGAGTCTATCTTGGCCTTTTAGAAAAAACCACCTCCAAATTTCTGAAGTCTTTAAACATTGTTCCTGGTGCACTGGCTTTTAATCTTGGTGAAGCAACTGAGAACAGGGGGCTACGTCAAAGGCTCCCTTAAGATCTATTAGATGAATGATGCCTAAAGAAAATTGAATATATTTATCTAAATTAATTATGTTAGGCTACACAGTGTCTCAGGTCTGGGCGAACCCACAATGATATTACCTATATTGTAAATTTCTTGTTCATATTTTGTCAACACTTCAGCGAATAATATCCTCATTGAACCAGAAATAAATTCTGTAAAAAAGTGCACTCACACTGAAAGGCAACACAGATGAGGTTTATATGCTAAAATCACCTGACAGCATCAAGGACATAATTACATTTTAAACGTCATACTGCAGCAAAAACAGCTACCTAGTTTTAATACCGGGTCTAAAGTAAGTAGCATTTTTTATCAGAGTAAAAATAATTTTTAAGGTAGTCTCTAGGGAGTAAAAATCATTTTTAGTCTCTAGGGAGTAAAAATCAGCTGTTATAAACAGTTGTCAATTTTGATTGTGGCAATCGTATCGATCAAAATTATTTATCGATTGATTTATTAGGTACGGTAAGGTGTTAGCCATTGTTTTCGATTGCTCGACATGTCGATGGTGAACTGTAACACAATCATAATAGACAAAATGATTGAGTCACTTACTAAACAGCTGCTAATTTGCATTAGCAGAATTGAAAACAAGCTGGAAGTTGTTTCAGAGAGGTTATCTTTACATAACAATTATTTATTTTTCTAGCTTAGTTTGATAATTAATGATGCAATATGACGAAAAATATAAGGTAGTTCACCACACAGACAAAAAGTGTCCTTCTATGTTTTGAACCCTCGCTCATTTCCCAACCTCGGCTTCGCCTCGATTGTAAAACTTGACCTCGGGTCAAAAAGAGTCACTTTAGGCCCTAGTGATGAAAATATACGAGGGACTACAACACAATCCTGATGTAGCTATGTTAAATTAAGTTAGTTTTTATTGAACATATGCCTACCTTTCATACCACTGAAGTAAACATTGTTGATGGAACAAATGACCGCATGAAGTAGCATAAACAACTTCTGAGTCCTGGCCGGTAAACAAGTCACTACAAATAGTACAGTTTATAAACATTTTGCAAAAATGTAATTGATTTTAACGATAACTTTCACTTCGTTTACATAACACGACTAAAAAATGTAATAGCAATTAAAGCCTAATGGTGGAATGATGTTCATTAGGGGCCTGTAACCAATCAAACCGTGCTCCACACCACAATACATTTTTTATGAAAATAAAAACAAGTTGTAACGAATCAAAGGATTAAAATTACACCACTTATCTTAATAACCAGTCCAGTCAGACAGAATTACAGAATTTTTCGATTTTATTTTATGCTAAACAATGGAAAACAACCGTGACCGAACGAAAACAAATCAAACTAACCTCTAACCTCCAAACTCCAACTTGAATTGAAAATCAAACCAGTAAAAAAAATCAGCAATGAGAAAACAAAGTACAAACCAAACCGTCACCACCAAACCGACGTCGACGGCTGATTATGTCTGTCAGTCTGTCTGTTCTGTATTTTTCCTATTGCCGATGCGGCGGTCTGGGTACATTTACCCCAAGGCTCTGTTCCCATGAGATCTGTTCTCTGGGGTTGTCAATAATGACTTGTCCATGATTAGCAAACATGTTCTTTTTTCTGACTGAAGCTTGCTATAAAATAGTAAGTTACAATATTCTTACTCATGGTGGAAATGTTCCTTCCACCATGATTATTACTACTGAAAATAGTAAACGAGCCTTCAATTAGCTTTCAACTAAGGAAGAGTTAAACCATAGATTAAATACTGAACACACTCTCTTATGTTATCATAGATTTAAATTATTAATATGAGAAATAGTTTTTTTCCTACAGTTACCTAACAATGTACATGTTCTCTCACTGATTTGAGAAAGCAAAGTGGCCAATTCGCTCATCAGCGAGACAATGTTAACATTGTCTCACTCTAATTACTTTGTCTCACTCCAGATTTGCAACGTTAAGGCACGAAATAGTGAGCGCGTAACATGCAGACAAGGTCGTATGCGCGCGAAATACGTTGGCATCACTGGCTGTGCTGTGTCAGCTGTTGTACTGTTGTTGATCGTGTTGATTATGTCAGATTAAAAGTTCACTTCTGTGTAAAATTATGTCACATTTGTTATAGTTATTTGTGCAACTATTGAGCAAAGTGAGCAATTGACTCACTCGAGAGAAATGCTTACTCGAGAGGAATGGTTTCTCGAGTGAGGCAATTGCACTTTGCACTCGAGTTGCACATTATATTTTTCCTACAGTTACCATAAAACAAATAAATTGGTAAAGAAACGTGACACATTTTTACACAGAAGTGAACTTTTTTATATTACATTTAATGATACAACAGTACCATAGCTGACCAGCTGATTTACAGCCAGTGCTGCCAACGTATTTCGCGCGCATACGACCTTGTCTGCATGTCACGTGCTCACTATTTCATGCCTTCACGTTGCAAATCTGGAGTGAGTGAGACAAAGTAATGAGTAAAACTGATGAGCGAATTGGCCACTTTGCTTTCTCAAATCAGTGAGAGAACATGTACATTGTTAGGTAACTGTGAGAAAAATATATTATTGTATTGATGGAAACATTGTTGTGCATACATTAACCGTATGTCGTTTTTTTATTTATACGTCTATATAAAAAATCTAAGTTATTTCTTCGCATTTCATTTAATTTCGTCTACATAAAACTCCATATTTTTCCAAACATGAATACAAATTCTCACAACGCCAACTTAATTGCTGACACGCCACATTTTTTTTCTTGAGGAAACAAGCAAGCAGTTATAAATTATAGTAAGTTGTGATATTGTATTCTAAATCAAAAATGTATAGATTTTGGCCAAACATACACTAACTTGTTCATACAATGGTAGTGCTGATATTCTTAATTTATTATCGTATTCGGATGTAGTATCTATTTTCATAACATCAAATAACTTAGCTATTGTAAAGGCAGTGGTTAAAATTATGATTAACAAAACAGCTGACAAATTGTATTTTTAGATGTAGCAGAAGCACTCAAGCAGACAAGAAAATTTGTATTCCGACCCGATCACCGATCTATTAGCTGTTAAATTGAAGCGGTTTTTATTAGTCTTTAATTTCTTGTATGTGTTTTAATCAATGTCAACGATAAAAGAGGTTTTCATTTGTGTCTTAATATTTTAAACACTATTGACCAATAGATTTCTTTACTTTTATTTTAACAAATGGAACCTGCTACGGACACAGAAGATTGCCCCTCAAACAATGAAGGTTCAGAAGCAGAAGTCGATAAACAAGATGACAGTGATGTGACTTTAAGACATAGAAAAATCATGGATTGTGCTAAGGAAACATTTGAGTCAGGTATGCATGCACTTGAAATGCATGTAAGTTCATTATGAGGTTCATTCAAATTTTTATTAAAAATAATATATTTTGAAACACACTTGCTCAAAGTGGTTTATTTTCTTACAGTAGGCCTATAGATAGTTACAAATTTTATTAGGCCTATAAGCCTTGCACTTTCCTATATCATGTTCCTTACCACAAAATCGGAAACTGGTTCTTTTTGATTAATTTTAAGGTTTTATTACATGAATATCCATAGTATTGTCTTTCTTATTTGCCAAAGCAGCCACGTCTATCTCTAACTGTCTCTTAGCAATTGAGATTGCTTTGTCAAGCGTCAATTCAGTTTTGGAAGCAGCTTTGATTTGATCCTGCTTCTAAGTTAGTAATTCCAATCACAAATATAGGCATATGGTATCTCTTGAAAAATGCAAATCCTCAAAATTGCTAAACACTGCCTGCTTTTTTATTCTTGAAACAAAACTGTCGATATTTTCCCCTTCCTCCTGTCTCAGCTGGAAAACTTATATCTCTCAAAAACAACATTTAAGTGTGGTCTAAAATGATCATCCAAAGCTTTTATCACATTTTTTTTTAAAAGAGGTTGGCGGTCTCTTTAACCTTGCATTTGCCCGTCCACATAGACTACACATAGATCTGTGCGTGGAACGTACATCCATCAAAGCACGGGGTGAGCCGGTACAGTATAAAGGTGAACTGTACTGATAAAAGTTTGTGGCATGACCAGGATCCGAACCCACAACACTGCTGCCTTGGGTCCAAAGTCCGCGACGCTACCAGCTGAGCCACCGACTCACAAATTATCATAGGACTCATCATTTGATACTTTGGCTGCACTTTAGTACCTGTCCTACACTCATTCGTATGAATATATCGATCAATATATCGAATACGGTAATCTATATAGGCTATCAATATTTTTTATTCGAATGAGTGTGGAACAGATACTAAACTGCAGTCCATAGTTTGAGCAAATTGAATGTTTCCACTGCAAATTCACTACCAATGTTAAGAAAAAGAGCCTTCTTAACTTTGTCTGACTGCTCTTCATTAGCAGAGGCTATGAGGAATATTTCAAATTCTTGTTTGAATTTACACCATTGTGTAGGCATCTTATCACAATCACTAATTAGCAGGTAGTTGTTACTCCATTTTTTGTTCACACCTGATACTATGAAACAAGTTTAATTAAGAAATAATTAAGACAAACTGTGGATAGCATTTAATGTAAAAATATCCAGCCAAAATCAAAAACAAAACAGAAAAAAATAAACATCAGCAATAATAAATAATAACAACTGTGTTATTTACACATAGGCTTATATACCGGTAACTTAAAATATATTACAGCTTCAGCATTTATAAGACAATTTATTTTACAGCTCCCCAAGGAGGCTACATCAACAAACTGTAATAGCCTACATAATTAACTTTTTTATAGGCTAATTAATTATGTTATTCATGAAAACCATTGTAATGATTTTAAGTAGATAATAGCTTATTAACCCTCCAAGTGTCCATAGTTTAGGCCTTAATGTCCACCTATTTTTGGCGCATTTGCAAGGTTTTATTAAAACGGATCTGAGAAGCTTAAAACAATGTTAATTCTAATGTTCTATATACCATTTTGTTCGGAAAATCATGGGCTTCAATATTATATATAAAACATAAGGAACATTAAAAAAAAAAATTTTTAGGTAAAAGAAAATATAATTTTGAAAATTTTCAAAAAAAAAAAAGTTCGCGCTCAATGAAATTGTATAAATTATAGGCCTATAAATATTTGAAAATAGCCACTTTGTTCTAAATTTTATGAGGATTACAAATATATACTAATATAAGGAAGTAGATTTGCAAATAAATAAGTTATGGGCAAAAAACAGATTTCAGTACATAGCGTTTAGCTAAGAATGCATAGCCTAACCCTAGCTAGGAATCTGGCTAATAATTTACATCAATATCACTACCTACTTCTTCAGGATCATCAACCAGCACTTCAAAACCACTTAAATCTTCTTATAATGCAACACGTATATCACTACTTTTGATTTTTAACACTAAAACAATGATAAACGTAATAAAACACATCAGTCATCGGTCCGGATAACCTAGCTGTTTACAAATACACGCACGTCAGCTGTCTGCTACAATTACGATCGGCTCAGAGAACGTACAGCGCTGAGACAGACCTCTGGAGAAAGCTTAGAATATTACGGAAAGAACGATACCTAACTCGATCCAGTTCAATCCGATTCAGTCAGTCATAGAGCCTTCGCCGTAAACGATGTCTGCGTGTCGAAAAATCGACAAGTAACACTACACAAAGTGTGCTGCTTGTCGAATTTTCGTCAAGTAACACTGGGAGGGTTAAAGCATAAGATATTGTTGTGTTCTAGCATCACGTATGCTACGTCGCAAGATTCCATGTACAGGGCATCTAATGACTCCTCGGAGATTGTGGATTCAGACTATACCTACCCATGTAAGTTGATTTTATAGTTAAAACACATTTTTTATTCACACTCAGCATATAATACAAGTAAAACTGCACTATATGAGGCTGGACGATAGACCTACCTGTTTTGTAATTCAGATTGTAAACATTATTTAAGATCACTAAGCCTTAGTAATGTAAATTATTTTATTTTTACACCCATTTTAATGGCCAAGAGAGCTAAAACATTACAGGTTTTTATGCTGCCTAGTTTAAAACCAGTAGAGTACAAAAATGCATTGTGGTTAAGCCATGAGACTGTATAGCAAATGTTTTTATTTACATCTGATCAAGACAGATGTTTTGTTGTGATTGTAAATAAATTACTAACTTTTTGAAATAAAACTAGACTGGATGAAATAAGTGTTCTTTATTCTTTTAACTTAAACTAAAATAAATTTGTAAAACTAATCTAATCTTTAAACTAAATTTACTTTAAACTTAAAACTATACCGTACTTCTAAACTTTACTGAACTAAATTTATATATACGCTTCCACAAATAAAACTTCTTACTATACAAGAAAAATCTCAAAGCTCAATCCAAATTTCGTGACATGCATTGTTATGCAGTACTTTGTTATTAACTGAGATATTTTTAAATGGGGTTAAATTGTAATGAAACATGAAAATAAATATTTCATTACAATTTTATATTCACCAATCAAATTTTCTGAATGTTTTTAGGAGTGTGACGTAGTGTTGATGTTTCCCTCGGGAGCTCAAGACTTCACATTAATGTGGTTGCTGTCTCGACTGCGGGCTGGCACGCCGGGACTCGTGGTACATGTGCGCCACCATTCATCATCAGATAGCTACGGTTTCTACCTTACGGCACCATTTAATGTGTGAGTGGTTCTCTTTCAATTGACATGGTTTACCCCCTGAGCTGAATTGATGACTATAATATACAATTACCTCGTCACAGTCACAGCTCCGTAGTTTCCGTTACGGCCGTTTCGGCATCAAAATGCCATCCTCAGATACATACATCCACCTGATTTGGCGTCGTCAAACTTGATATACACACGTAACACGATAACAAACATTTAAAACATAAAAAACGAAAGACAGGCCTTTCGCGCACATGATGAGTACGTGCACGGAAGCTAACTGGACAACTGCTAGTTCATCCCAGCCGTTGCGGTATTATCTCTTGGACTTTGATCTCTTGGCTTGCTTCGTTTGATGATGTTATTGAAAATAGTGTGAGATTTAAATTGTAGTTGGTCATTTAGTATGGATTCATTGTTGTATTTTATTTTATGGGCTTTATAAACCCCTTGGGGGGATTAACCCACAGCCACCTCTAATACAAGGCCCTTCTGGGTCCGTCTTCACACGTGCTAGGCTATAACTTAAATGAGAGTTTTGCTATTTTCACTGCTCTATAGATGAATGAAAGATATTTAAATGGCATTATAATACGGTAGTGGTTTTTGTACTAAAATACAAACATAATGTTTGTTTGCTTGTAGGCCTATTTTTTGTATTGTAATAATTGCCATGAACGTGAAAATGTCTTGTGAAACTTCCAATTGCAAATGAAAGAGTAAAATAAAAAATATCTTGGATTGTTTTAATATACCTAATTATTTTCATGTATAAATATTCATATTTTTGTTTTAGCCTACCTGACGAACCATAAGTCTAGATAGCTACGACAAAATGTTAAGTTTTCTTTTCTTGTTTGAAGGCCTACTGATTAAATCATCTATTTTCTTTGAATAATTATTATCTACGTTTGCCATTGTGGAAACGATCTCAGAAGCTCTCAAAAGCTAGGCCTTCATATGGCTTTCCACATTCATTATAATGTGCAAAATGAAGCTAATAATTCACGTCAATTTATTATTATTATTATTTATTTATTAATTATAGGCCTATGCTAATATACAGCCTTAATTGTTGCAAAATGAAGTAAAGTCCCCGACTTTGTTCTCTTTTGCTAGTCAAATTTATTCATCCTGATGTTGACTATTCTTTATCCTGTTGCCTTCCTCTTGTATGCTTTCTTCAGGAGTCTTTCTCTTTGTCATTTTTCGTGTATCAAGATACGAAGGTAAATTAGGAAAAAGTCTAGGTACGGCATTCTCACCTAAAACTGGCTTCTCGCATCTATTTTCGCACCAATCACCGTCTTTATTCTTGTATTTTTCCATAAAACTAAGGTCATCTTCGTGAAAATATTTCACGCAGACACGAGAATTGTTTGAAGGTGGCCAATCAGACCGAGGAATATCACGACTCCACTGTTGCTTACGCACCGGATCAAAATTGTGTTACGAAGCATGGAAGTAGAGCCAAAAAGAGATGTTTCTCGGTTGAGTAACAGAAACTGTTACTGTACAGATTTTTTCAAAGATATTATTTCACAGTTTTTTGTCTCTTATAAATAATTTATTTGATTTTAAAGACTGTACAACATCTTTGTATTTTTCATGTGTAATTGTGTTCAAATATGTATGTTATTCATTGTGATTCCTATCAAATACAACATTTAGCTATGTTTTAATGGAAAATAAATATGTTGACTACCATAATTTAATACAGTCTAGTATTTCAAAACCCTTTCCTATTTAATAGTACCCGGTTTGGGTATTAACCTAAATTTTACGTACCGTATCCGGGAAGCCTGCACTGATATCCTTTTTTCTGGTTAATCAGGACTTGAGTTTAGTGTCATTTACAGTAGTTTGATTTAAGCCCTTAAAATATTTAATATTTTACAAAAAAAATGTACATCAACACATTTGTTTCATGTGTAGGTTAATGAAAGCTGCAGAAGAACTTCATCTTCCCAAAGCTCTGCGGGCAGAGTTTGGTGGCGGACTTAAGGAGTTTGTTCAGGCAGAGGTATAAATCATTCTTATCAGCGATTTTGCTATTATTTATATGTTTTCAAATATTATATATACTACCCTAAAATTCCATTTACAGCTTTTTAGGTTCACTTTAAGAAGTAAGTGCTTTATGTTTCACACTAAATGGTGTCTATTTACATTTTCATAAAGCCTAAGATTTTAGTAGGTCTACCTTGCCAATCTTGTTTTATTATCATCAATTGGTTTGAAACAGTTTTTATTTCATTTTTTTATTGTGGCTCATGATTAGTTCCCTTTAGTGTCCTAAGATGTAGGCCTACAATTTTTTACTTGTTTGTTAGAACAGGGCTCTACTTTAATTTTTTCCTGACATAGGCCTACTAAGTTATATTGTGTGAAAATAAACAAATATTTGCATGTGTTAAAATAACACCGCCCCTCCAAAGCAGAACTACTGGCAACAGTGATATATTGTCGCAGAAAGACAAGGAGGGCTGCAGAAAGCCCAGCCTGCCTGAATAGTTGTATTTTAATTTAATTTAATTTTTGAAAAATTATTTATTGTCACAGACAATATTAGGGCCACATGGCCCACACTTAATCTGTATACATTTCTGCAGAAAAATGCTACATTACATTTAGTAACATTTGTTTTATATAAAATATTTCTGTAAAAAGTCGACAACTTTATTTTCTGCAGAAAGATTCTCCGTTCTTCAAACAGTAACGCTACAAAATGTCATACATTGAACAAAAGCTACGACGTCAATACTAAGTGCATCGTTCAGGAAGAACGCATAGAATAACTGAATTGAATTACCAAAGCGACTCAATGTAATAACAGTAGGTGTTTTCGAATCGATACAAGCGTTTGAAATCTTATTTATTTCCAAATGTTCATTAAAACTATCCCCACACATGGTTCACTTACATTTAAATCTAACTGCGTAAGCCCTTACATTTAAGTCCATTGCAACAAGTTAAAAAACGTTCTGCTTTGGGGCACCGCCGCCTAACTTAGTTCTGCTAAAAGTTCATAGTTCACACCAAGCTTCATGGTTCACCTCTTTTTAATCCATGCATACCTACCAATAGTAAGCAAATAACTGGTTGTAGTGCTCATCTAGTATTCGAAAAGACATTGATTTGATCCTGAAAATCTGGAAGCTTTTTGGTGGCTCAACACTGTAACTCAGCTGTTGTTAATAATTTTGCTTCTAATATGGTCCTGGCTGAAAAACCAGCTAACCTTACTTAGATCAATAACGAAGCTGTCATTTCATTTATTTAATGCAAACTTGTTCTTAGCTTAAAATCTGTGCGCTGGTGAGTCAGTGTCATATAAAATGAGGTTGTTGGTTTTAGGTTGACTGTTTTGAGGGAACAGAAGAGCCAGATCACTTCTTCACCACACAAGAGCGTCAGTGGCTAGTGCTACACCTCCTACAGACACTGAGAGCTACGGAGGGAGACGCCATCGCAGGACTCAAACTGATCGAGGGACAAGCCATCGGTGAGTGCATCTCATTTTATAATTAAAAACTTGACAGGAATGTTATTAGTGTCGGTTTAAAGCAATACAGTATTCTGTATATTAAATACATTCTACAAATTCTATTTTTATAAAGATCTTTTGGATTATTTAATACATTTAAAAGAACTGTACACTCTAGTGCCAACATTTATTGTGTATCCTGCATAGTTCAGGATTTTTTAAATTTGCCACTTCGTTTTAAATGTAATGTAGTTTTTTACCCCACAAGTGTTGTGCAGTGTAAGTTTTAACATTTCATAATATAAGCTAATACCATGATATAATTCCAACGTTACCTAATTGTTTCTTTCAGTTCCAAAGTGTCTTTCTGCTGGAATCATAGCACAAGTTTTCCCCCTCCATGATCTTGAAGCCCTTCGTAAGCTGCGGAACACATGGGTTCGATCATTCACCAGGACTCAACCTCTCGGTAGGTAACATACAGCAAAGGTTTGCATAGGTACTTATTTTCACCACAGAATCAGTACTTCAAGTTGTAACCTTCAAGATATAACCTGATTTAGCCTTAAAAAATCAAATACATTATAACATTAATACTTTAATACTTTCTGTATAGACCTAACTTTGACTATTTCCGTCATCTTACGAGTATAACTATGTAGCTGAATAGATATTATGCTCATTTCTGTTTTTAGATTACCTCTATTTTTGTTTCAGATGAAGTAAGCACCTACTTTGGTGTCAAGATTGCCATGTACTTCGCATGGCTTGGTCATTACACCACAGCTCTCATTGTGCCTGCTATTGTTGGATTTACGTTTTGGGTAAATATTTTATTCTGTTCTCTGGAACATTTTGCTTTGTTTGGAAAAGTTCACTGTCTCAGGGTTCCCAACATATTTAGGTCGGGCTGGGCCAACAGTTGGTCCTATAGAATTTTCGGACTGAAGGATAATTTTTCAGGCTTAATTTTTGATTGCAGAAAGTGTCTGTGTAGATTGTTCAAAAGAAAATAATTGATTTTGTCTCAATCGGGAGGATTGTTATGATTGCAGTTATGGCGGGAGACGATGATGACGTCAGGTCACAGAGATATAATCATCTCCCGCAATCGCACCAAATGCTTGAACATCTCTCACCATCAGAAAAAAATTTGAATATTCAATCATCCAATCTTTGTAGATGGTTTCTGCAATTGGAAATCAGCCCCTCAAATATGCACACCTCTAATGACACAACCCGAAATTAGTCCAAAAACTAGTTCTGGTCCAAACCAATCTCTGAACCCAACTCAACTCAAATGTTTCTGAGACCCATAGACCACTATTCTAAGGCAGTATTGTGATTTTTAGATTTAAGAAAAGCAACTATCTCACCTTAGTAAAAGTCCAGGTAGGTCACCGTAATTTCAGAAAACACAATATTTCGTCCCCTGGGAATTTTTGGCAAGTGTATACAGAGAGTTGGACTCGTTTTAAGGTAAGCTAGCTGCTCTTATTATGGAAATCACACGCTTAACAAAATTAAGGCATTTTAGTCAACTGATACTTTTCTACAGATTGGATTCGGTCGAGGTGACCAAGCCACTGAGGATGTCGGGTTTGTTCTGTTTGCGTTCTTCAACGTGCTTTGGTTCAGTGTTTACCTGGAGGCATGGAAGCGCTACTGTGCTGAGTTGGCGTACAAGTGGGGCACACTAGACCAGCGAGATGAACTACTGCAGGAGCCTCGACCACTGTTCTCTGTAAGTAGCACTGACTTTTCCCTCACCAAGTATTTTGTCTATGTTTTTTGTTTATTTGTTCTATTTTTAGATGAATATAAGTTCTACAACAAGTGCAAGCTACTGTACATTAGGTAAACTGAAACCACGATAGTAAAATTAAAATCGATTGAAATTAGCTAGGCTGGAGAATTGTCCATGTTGAGTTGGTGGTGACTAAAAACCATAGACTAGGCAGCATATTCGTCCTTCTTCCCCAACCTACATGAACGTAGAAAGACTACTACTGTATAAGGAGTTAGTAGCTCTGAAGGTTCTGTGTTTACACGGTTGCCTGTGAAAAATAATGGAAGTTGATTTAAATGTAATTGTAAAAACTAATTGTAAAACCCGAAACCTCTAAGATTGATTCACTTTGTGACTTTTGATTGCTTTATCAGTTTGTGAATTGTTCATGTTTTTATTTCACTATACATTTTCTTGTTTAATGTTTTGGTTGTAGGCCTACTAATTATTTGTGATTAGCCTATATCTTAATACTTTAATATTTTTTTATTGAAATGGCGACCATACAAAGTAGGTATTTTAAGCCAAGTATATCCTCAATAACTCAGCTGTTGTACACAGGGGCCCTTAGAAGTAAGCAAGGTAACTGGAAGGCTTGAACCCACTTATCCTGCGTGGAAGCGTAACGTGTTTCGTTATTTCGTCAGTGTGCCTGTGATAGCACTTTGCCTTGTCTGTGTCTTCATTGTTATGATGCTCAATCTCAAACTGCAGGTAATCGTAATTTTCGTTACTACCATATCGTACGTATATTTAGTTTCACTACCTATCTCTACAATAGTTGGTAGAACATGGAATTGAATAACGATTCAGTAATCTTTTTTATAAATGCGATACCATGAAGCATACATTATATAGCAGTGTCCAGGTTGTTGCCTGTTGCTGTTTCAGAACAAAAATTACTTAATTGAATCCAGTGCTTCTGTAATATACAATTTTCCTAGTTATTTACTAACTTTTAAACCATGCCAAACAGAAAGGTCAACGTTTGGCCAGATCATGAATCATCTTTAATGTTCCTATTAATCACAGTGCTTCTGTAAAAAATATTAAAATAGAATGAAAAACTTCCAATCACACCAATTCTATAAAAGCTTCGTATACTGTGTGTTTTTTACTTCATTTTGTAAGTTTTGTAGTTGCAGACTGTTGCAGCTAATCTATAACTATAACATATTGGATGACTTCAGAATACAAAGTCATCAGCATTATTATGTAAAAAATATAAGATAATTGATGCTATTCGGCACAAACTCTGTCCATGTAGCCCGATCATGGTATTTTCCTTCTTAAACTTTGTTAATTAAAGTTTGTTTCTTATAAACTTACTGTTATCTGGCGCATTGCAATGTTGTGCATTTGTGAATGACTGCATAATAATTTCTGTACCATTTGAAATATTTATTATTTTAACTTTTTTTCAGTAGATTGAGTGGATTTATGCCTGGTAGTCAGAAGGTCACTGATATGATCCAAAAAAAGTCAGTAGCTTTTTATTGTTCTAAACATGACCCTGTAATTCTTGATAATTGGCTTTAGAGGCTTTTCAGACTCAATTAACGTCTAATATTAGTTAGTAACAGATCTACAAAACACATCACTCCCTCGATTTTTTATATTTGTGTTAAAACTGGCCCATTTACATCTCAATGTTATTTGTAATATGTCAATATGTAGTCAAAATATAAAAACTTATAGATCACTTCCTACAGGATTGGTGGGACAGACAGATAGAAGCACAAGGATATGCATTCTGTCTGAGCTACTTACCCAAGATTATGCTAGCCATTGGAATCACATTGCTGGATGAGGCGTATTACAAAGTAGCTTGTTGGCTCAATGACAAAGGTACGTTTACTTCCCGCTAGTGACATACACGGGCATGACACCGGGTTAGCATAGAACTAGCTGCACTACTTGTCTACTGCCAAGAAATATATACCTCTGTTTTGACTCGCAAGTGTTTTTTTCATGTATCAAGTTCGTTACGTTTTGTGTTAGTTGAATCGGTACAATTTTGCAATGTGTGACTAATCAACTTTAGAGCTTAGATGGTCTAACCATAGTTGTAGATGGTTGTGAGTTAACCCTACCTGTTCAACTCTTATAATACCAAAATAAATTTTATTGCTAAAAACAAAAGCAGCAAAAGAGAGCTGTGTTAAAATTAAACTGTGATTCTGCTAAAGTTCCCTTAAAACATCTGAACTACGTTAGCCTACAGTAGGGATGGACAGATTGTATTTTTAATTTGAGACAGGACAACATTTGACAGTTTTTTCTATTGATGTATTGGTTCTATAAGACGGTTCTTGGTTCCAACAGTTCTTGGGGAAAAAACCAGGACCGAGTACCACGTTTAACCTATTGCTTACGTAACAGTACAGTAGCAGATTTTTCCACTGTGAAACAGTACTTTAAAACCATAACACTACTAGCTATCAACAGCTATAAACAGCTGTAAAATTTCCTTCATACATACAGTGGCTATAAACTATTATGGCCACACAGCGTCCCTAGTATCAGGAGATGAGCATGAGTGGACGTTCATTTGACCTCGGTATTTCATTTCTGCTTTATGTCTGTTCAGATAAATCTAATTGTAGTTGGTTTTTTACCGGAATGGAAAACCGTTTTCGGCCAAGAACTGAACCGTGAAAAAATTTAAAAACCGATAAAATTAAAATTACACATCACAAGTCTTCATTGCACTGATCTATGTCATCATGGCCATAATCCGTGATTGCAGTTCTATTGTTGTTATCTCCCGTGATCACAGAGATATGATCATGGTTACCTACCATAGCAGCGAAATCATGAAGATCTCTCACAATTGTGGCAATTTATGAACATCTCTTGAGATGGCAGAGACAACAACATCTTGTCTGCAGTGAAGAAGTCTTCCACGATCACGGACACATCATTTATCTTCTCTCAAAATCGTGGCCAAACCATTAAAAGCTCACATGGTCATGGACATATAATTGTCACTCGGGATTGTAGCATAATTTCTGACGATTGGAACTGTGCCGATTTTAAACCACATGGTTTAAAATCCGCGCCAAGGCAAAAGACAAGTCCGTCCAACCATGACGTAGTATGGATTGGTACGAGAGGGAAGGACTGAAACTGTGCCATGCGCAAAACTTCACTCGGAGTTGCACCACCATCAACTAAGGTTGCGTGTCGCCGGTGTAGGGCAATTTTATCATTATATAATTGGCAGCTCGGAAATTCGCGTTCGGGCAAAAATTGTACGTGCATCAAAATGACAGCAATTGTCAAAATTTCCCCGAACTGCAATTGGGAGAAGTGTTTTATAAGTTTTAAGCCGAATCAGTTGAGATTGCCGGATTGATTGTTGCGTTCGTGAGGAGATTTGTACATGCATCATCGGATCGCAAATGTCAATTTCTTATCGATTCGTAAATTGTTCTGACGGTATTTTCAATTGAATCAATATCAATAAGTAAAGAATAACATCAGTAAATAAGTAAAGATTTTTCTTTTTTTTTCTTTACAGAACAAATTCTAAATTTTGTCCTGAATTAAATATACTCCCGCCCAAAGACAGAAATATATTTCCCCAAAAAATACCTGAAATCTAATTCCAGTTACCGTGGAACTTTTGTTTCAAAGGAGCATGAGAGAATAGTAATAATTAAATTAAATCAATGCACATAAATGTTTGTATAATAGCTTTGACTATTGTATCCAATAGTCAATGATAATATATTTTTAAAATTTCTTAAACCAAAACAAAACAAAACATAATAATTAGAATTTCTGTTTGGTTGACTTTTTACCAAGGTTTTTGTTTTCGAATAATTCAGCCTAATACCACATGTTATCAAAGATATTTCTAAAATAACCTATTTTTTATGAGGCTCCTCTGTAGTTAAATTTGTTCAAAACATCAATTATCATCTTATAAACTTAATTATTCCTTCTTTTGCAATTTACTTACTCTAACTCTTACTCCCATGGCCATCGATACCCAAGGTGGTATTTGGCCTCGCCAACTGAATGCAGTCCACTTCTTCCGATCTTCAGCATCTTTTGCAAATTATTAGTTTTTAAACCTCTTTGGTTGTTTCAAGCACATTCAGTATTGCAACAACACATTTTGGCCAGAGTAAAAAAAAACTATATTTCCAAAAATACATAAATTAGAAGGCTACGAAAGTTGTTGCAAAGTGCATTGTTCTTGAAATTTGTAAGCTTATTGAATTGATTTAGGTTTGGTGCTATGATATATATTTAGTACTATAGGGCTGTTGACAGGAGGTTGTTTTATAAAAATTCAATCATTAGCATTCATAATTGGTACACTGCATCACTTCTTTGTTAGGAAACACAAGCATTGTATATTTTTAAGGATATGATCCTAGGCTCATTTCTAGAGTCATTCTAGACTCAGTGACCTCATTTCTTTGTTTTCATTTTGCAATATGAAACAAATTTACTGATTTTTCCTTCTACTCTACTCATATTCCTAAAACGCCTTTTTACTCAACCTGTATAAAACAATCTTAATCAACAGTTAAAATTTTTGGCCTTTGGGCGATGACCGTGTCAAAAAAGATTGAAAACTTCCATCCGCCTGGTAAAATATTCACCCATTTTTATGTTCAGAATTTTAGTTGAATAGAACAGTTTAATCTATTTACTCATAGTCTTCACTTGAAGACATGCTTTTTACTACAAATGTACAGTCCTGCTACCACAAAAGCATGTCTATAAAGTTTGTTATGTTTAAAATTTGTCCTCTCCAAAATATCGAAGATCCCTTTCAACTTTTCTGTCTCTAGCGACGGACATTTCTAATCCCTGTCCACAGCCCTGGCTAGGTAAGGCAGTCAGTTGATGTGTCGTATGTTTTTAACAGAGAACTACAGACTAGATACGAAGTACGAGAACCATCTTATCGCCAAAGTGGCCGTGGTTTGTATCTCAGCTAATAGCCTGCATGTTCCCGCTGATTTACTGTTTACCCTCAGTCCAGCAAGTAGCAGTACACCAGCATTAAAGAGGGCAAAAATACGCCATATGATAGATATTAAACAAAATTAAATTTTGGTTTCATAAAAGTTAAAAATAACACATGTTTGAAACTCCTGGTTTGTGTTTCAAACTTCAGTACAAGAGGAACGGATTTAATCCTTGGCACATCAAAGTAAATTAATTGGTTTTAACTACTTCTTCTCACAATATTTTTTTTTCCGTCTAAACTTCATAGGCATGGATAAGAAATGTAAGCAAAAACTTATTATATGTTGAAGTAAAAATAAATTGCCAGTTTAATCATTATTTCTGACCGAAAGTTTTTAGGAGGATACTACTCACAACTTCCATTTGAAGTATGGTTACGTTTGGGAGCGATTTGGTCTAGTGGTAGAGTGCTAGACTTCGGTCCAGAGGTCCCGAGTTCAAATCTCACCAATATCCTTTATATTTTATCTAAATAATAATGCTGCAACCCTCTAAAACTATAGCCTGAAGTAATGTGAAAACTCTTCTGAGCCTGAGCCTAGCGTAGGATGTGAAGGTGGGACATGAAAAATGTTGTAGTGTTAGTGTAAAGTCCATACCGGTTGTACTGCTGCTTGTTGAATTGTCTGTTGTCAACAGCTGTTCGCCTGATGTAGGAATGTCGCTGCGTAATCGCTTCTCAAACCACTCAGCTTCCAACTGTTGCAATCTGTTGTTAGTTGTACGAATTTGGTGACTTTCAGGAACTTGTTTCTTTATTTTCATCCACATGTAAACCTAAAATTTAACCAGGTGACATTGTAAAACTATTCTAAAATGCAAAACCAATTAATTAGCTTGATTGATCAAATGTTTTTGATGCTCCTCAAAGTACTTAGTTTTATTTTTTACTCAATACCCCAATGAAATATGCAGGTATAATTTTAATTGGATAAAACCAACACGTTCTTGACACTTTTAGGTAATGCTTAGTTTAACCACAAGAAGGTAATGGGTATCTTGGGAATGTCTTACAGCTTTAATTTTCCTAAAATCCATTTTAAATTTTTATAAACAATTTCTTTGATATTTTATTTTTACTTCATTTGTAATATTACATTTATGCTTGCAAAACCACATTACACTAACGTAGTAAAAAAATCTTGCACTGTTATATGAATCACATATAATTTTATTGGTTCATTTTCTTAGTACCTACCTTAATTACAATTGTATATAAAATGAGCTTACTAACCTGTCTTCAATCAATCCTATGTTTGTGTCGTGCTCGTGATGACCATAGTTTCGGGCTTAAAACACTATTTTCAAATATTCAGTAGTCAAATCGCAAAACCAGCTGGTTTTGTCCTTGGCCGGCCTAGCGCTATTGTACATAGTTTTTGTAGATCTAAATTTTTCCACTGTATGTGACACTTCAATGTAAAAAGAAGTACAATATGATGGAATAAACTAGAACGGATGAAAAATTGTTGAGCCTCTTTTTTATTTGGCATCAACTAATATTTTGAATCCCCAATAACTTTCATTGGAGTGGGGACAAAGTTTAATTAACTGTTTCTCTAAACACCTCGGTATTTGTAATTAAAGTTAAAATAAAGCACTTCCAAATAATGTAGGCCTATTTGTCATTGTGGCATTCAAACACTTTATATATTATATGCGTTTTGTACTGTAGGTAAATACCGGGTGTCCCAAAAAGAATGGATCAAAAGTAAACAGACATGAACACGTTATTCTTGAAGATAAAAAGTTAACTTTATATACATTTTATTTCTTAACTTTCTAAGTTTTTCCTAACATGATTTCACCGCCGAACCTCTACATGTTCTCCGTTGTTCGCTCGGAGAAAGTCAAGGCGGTGTTTAAGCTCAGACCCCACATTTGGTCGCATTTCATTGGATATTTTTCCAAAGTCTTCCCTTATCTTTGCTTTAAGATCATCTAAGTTTGAGATCGGCAGGTTATACACTTGATCTTTCACAAATCCCATACAAAAAATGACATGGCGTAATGTCTGGAGATCTAGGAGGCCACCGTATGGGACCGCCGCGACCAATCCAACTCTCTGGGAAGGTTTCATCCAGTGACAAGTGACTCCCTCACAAATAATGTCCAGTGCGGAGGAGCACCATCTTGCTGGAATATCACGATTGGTGGTTGGAAAGCCTCTAATTAAGGATAGGCATAGTTCTCCATTATGTCGAGGTACACGTTTCCAGTAACTGTTTGCTCATGAAAGAAAAAAGGGCCTATTAACGTGTCATAAGCAATGCAACACCAGACGTTCACTTTGGGACTGTCTTTTACATGTTCACGGACAAAATGCGGTCATTGTGAACCCCATATCCTCACATTATGTTTGTTTACGTTTTCGGAAGTGTGAAAGGTTGTTTCATCAGAAAAAATTTGTTTCAAAAATTGGTCGTCTTCAGCAACTTTATCCAGCACATTAATCGCTTTTAACTGCACATTCATAATGCAACTGTGAGGTTTGTTTATGTTTTGAAAATTCAAGCATGAACAGCTGATTTTTGTTGAATCATACTAAAAAAACTTTAAGATGTCAGCTTTAAAATAAGCCATACTTGACATTCCTACGACCCTCAATAACACGTCTATTAAGCTGTAGATTTGATCCATTCTTTTTGGGACACGGTGTATTTAAAATGTTCCATTTATTACATTGTTTACTAGAAAAAAGACTTAAAAACTAATTTATAACATAAGAACAAATCACACAGTACAAGTTTTTATTTGGTTTTATTTTGCAAAAAAATACTGTAGCTCTCACCTTGTAAATTTCCTTAAGTAGTTTGCCTTCATCATGTGTAGTAGAATAAAATCAAATCTCTCGAATTTTTTTTGTATTTTACGTCTTTTTTCTTATTTTGCCAGTTTTATTATCACCTGCCTGCAACTGTTGACTTTTTATCCTTGCATTTTAATTTTTGTAATTTAAGTATTTTGAAATTTTGTGGAATAAAGTTTTGTAGAAACTAATATCATTTAAATAAAAAATATGATTAAATATGTAATAATAACTATGATAACGATACAAGGTATATACAATAAACAATAAACATAAACAATAAAGATAACATCAATAACAATTTTATACAATCATAAAATATTGCTGACCTGGTCCCTAGGAAATAAATGTATTGAAAGAAGGGTAAGTTTGTTTGAAAAATCCGAGAAAATTTGGTAGTGTGTCTTTGACAAGGTATATTTCCAAAAGTCAATGGTATCATGAAAAGCAATCTATTAGTTCAACCATATATTAAACATACTCCCTTAGTAGATTTGCATCCTTATGGACCAGCTGAAGACAATTTTATTGTTAGTTCCCTCCGGTGCCGCAAGGATCGTGTTTTGGTTTACAATTCGTATCTTGTTAGTTATTTCAGTTATGTAAAACCTCGTTTGACCAAATAAAACAAACTAATCATAAACAATAGCTCGTCCCCTGATTGTATAACCCAAAGTTAAAGTGTAAATCATAAAACTAACCGTAAAATAAGATAAATTTTATTTAGTCAACACTACCGTCCAGGTCACCAAAATGATAGGCATGAAACCTTTTTCATGCTGTTGAGCTTCAAAATTTACAAAGGGATGAGAAATCTACTTGCGTTGGTTAGCCTATGGTTAAACAGTTGTTTTCAAAAAAACCTTCAGCTGTTTTAATCTGTACAACTTGTTCTAAATTATAGAATCCACAACATATTAACCAAACTACTACAATTGCTAATGAAACACTAAGTTATGATCAAGAATCATTAAGTCTATGTAAGACTGACATGTCTTACAAAATGTCAGTTGATGACTTGCTGTAAACCGCCAAACTTGAACAAAAGAATTGAAAATAAAATCATTAATTTTCAATATCTTGCTATGATTCCTTTTAAAAAATGTGTCTTGTTTCAGTGATAAAAAATTATATACAATGAAATTTAACAGGTCCTAATTATTTTTGTTGGTTTTCAGTTCCAGTTTGTAAATTCTTTTCTCTCCCTTTTCTACATCGCATTTTATCTTCAAGATCAAGAAAAATTAAAAGAGGTGAGTAATGGTTTAACTCTAAGAGTCCTTGGAGACTAGCGGCCATCTTGGATTCTTTCAAAGAGCTGTTGAAGGGTTATTTATCATCCAAAAATATGTTTTCAAATACGAAAGTGATTGTAATTTAAATATCTAGTGCACTGTGGGATCAGACATTTTCTTCCTACCTTTGTAATTGTTTTATGAGTTATAACGTCTAGGCTCCAAGGATTCTTAATTAAGTTACCACCAGTAGCCTATGTCTCATAAATTGAATTATTTAGTTTTAAAGATTTAAAGTATCAGTATTTAATTGGTAAACATATACATTACAGTAGCTGCAATGCAATATATAGGTACTAACATAAAAGCAGTATGGTTTATTTTTTTTAATTGCTCTTAAGTCTTAAGCTATTGGTACAGAGTGGCAAAATATGTACAGGCTCAAGGATTGAAGGAAAGATTAGACAAAAAGATTGTAAAGAGAACAGTATTATTGATTTTAAAGAGCCTAATGATAAAAGCTAAATTGTATTTTGTATATTTTTTTTGCTAGCCTATAATTGTCTAAGTAATGGGAGAATATTTGTTATTGTTTATGCGTTGAACACTTATGTTTGGACAAGAATAGTACGCTTAAGCTACTTAACATTCATAGATTAATGGAGACTGTTGGATATGTCATTAGTTTTGTCGAATTCCCTGCAATTTTCTTTCTTGTTTAAGAGATGGTTACCTTTTTTAAACTTTCATTTGGCCATCTACATTGGCCTGAGTGTGGAGAGTAAGGGGTTGGCTGATACAGTTCAAAAATTAACTTAACTGATAAATTTTAAGTGGCACTGTGATGATGAGCAATGTATATTTATTAAGCAATGTATATTTATTAAATTCAGTCTAAGGGAACAATAATAAGTCAAAATAAATCTTTTATTAATTTTCAAAATTTATTGAAAGTTTTATAAACATTTTATCTGCTGACACGCGCTCGTCTCGAGGAAGTGTACTTCCTGTGACGATGTCCCCCACGGTCCTGCAAACCCACAACCAATGAGAGCTTTCCTTTTCAAGGATACTCCATATATGGTAAATACAATTAATAAGTAATAGTAGAGGGGATAACTGTCACAGAACTCTTCTTATAATTTTTAGACAATCATTCCATCATCAACTTTCGAACTAGTAAGTAATTCCTCCCCCCTCTAGTCTCTCTCTCACTTTCTGGTTCACTTAGGTATTATCATGTAGTATTTCTATGTTATTATTTAAGATTCTGGAAATTAAATAATAATTAATCCTTTTAGAGATGAACTTGCGTATCTAATTTAATAATATGAACTTACTTGAGTGTAAATTTCTTGATTCAGTTTAAAATGTAAAATTAAACTTGTGTGAAACTTTAACGTTTTATTTCTTCTTTGGTTTTATCCTATTAACTTATTTAACCATGCTGGTCAGGCATAACAGCACCACCAAGAAATGAGCCCAAGACATTGCTGCTTTGATTTTAAAATCTGTTGCACTACTCACTGACCCACCAGACCACTTATGTTAGCTTATGTATCTTTGTTTACTTAAGGATCCATCCTCGAACAAATTTTAGGTTTTTGTGATTGTTAGTGTAGTTCAAAAGTAATCCATAAAGAATTTCATATACAAAGATATTTAATACCAAGCCTGTACATTTAATTTTCAGCAACTGGCAGCACTGTTGATAGCAAGACAGGTGATTGGCAATGTGAAGGAGTCAGCTCTGCCTTACCTGCTGGAGCAACTGCGACTGGCCAAGATGAGCTTTGACCTGTTTGGAGCTCTCAGTCCGAGTGAAGCAAAGCGCGAACCACCCGGCACTGAGCAAACTGAGCAAAGCAAGTCTACCAACCGCAACGTCAGTCAGGCTGAGCTGGAAAGCTCTCTATTCAAGGTATGATAGGTGGCAGAGTGGTTACAGTGCTCATCCAACAATCAAAAGGTCGCCAGTTCAATCCTGAGATGATGGTTTGAAACTGGACTTGACCATTGGGCTTTTAATAAATGCTCCATGGCTAAATAAACGGCTGGTCTTAGTCAGTAACATCGCTACACACATCTCACTTACCATATTCTAAACTCGTCCTTCACTCATATTTGGGTCCAAATACACGTCCTCAACACAATTTATCTAAGGTAAGGTATTCTGAAGATAAACGATGAGCAATTAGGATCAAGTTTGGATTACAGTCTTTGTTGTATTACGTGGAATATTTTGTCGTTGATATTAAAAATATCTTACTTGTGAATTGTTTTAAACCAAGCCTACTCTTACAAGGCAAACTATCTTTATTCTCTAACAGGTAATTTATCACCTATTTTAACTTTTCAAACTATTAGTTTTATCAAACCTACTCAACTATTTTTCTTGGCCAAATCATAGTAAAAAGCATCCTTGGGTAAAAGAGACATTGGTGTACAAGGTTTCAGTTCATCCCATATTTTCTGTTTTACATTCACCCAATGATTTTTAGATATTTGAATAGCTTTCTGTTACATATGTTATTAGGAATCGCAGATGTTCTGAATTAATTGTTATTATGTTTGTATTGATAAAAAGGGTATTCATAAACACTAGCTGTTACCCACGGGCTTCACCCCGTTTGACTTCATAAGTATTAACATAGACAAAAAGAAATAAAATATAGACCGTCACCTGTGCTGCGGTTACCATCGGTTCTGGCGCACACCGCTGGGAGTGCCATGTAGTTATGGCGTACACGTTACGTAAATTACACGGCACTCCCAGCGGTGTGCGCCAAAACCTATAGTAACTATAGTAACCGCAGCACGGCTGACAGTCTATATTTAATTATTTTTGTCTATGGTATTAATAAAACTATAGATTATTAAGTTAAACGGAAATAAACAAAACAGAATATAGTAATACAAACAAATAATCACACCTGATTTTAATAAGGTAATAAATTGAAAGAATAACAAACAAATAAGTACAGACCGTTTCACCGTGCTTGGCGTGTAGGGGAGGCAGTGCGAGAGAGACAGAAAAATACAAAAACGTAAACATAAAGCAAACTAATTTGACAACTGATGCTAGTTCACAACTTCAGTATTTGAACATGACTGTACCGTACATCGAGGCATGGTGGGGGAAAGCTCTCAGTGCGCATGCTCCAGCGAGGCGCCACGCACCGTGGCACTATCTGTACAGCTGAGGTATTTTTAACATTAGGTATATGGAAAGTTCCCTTTAGAATAGTTAAATAATAGATAAATAATGGATAGTTTTGCGCAAGGTTTCTCGTCATGACGAACATTTTAAGTATATGGTTTATGGGGGTGTGACTTGTAGTTTTCTCAAAAGTTCATGGGTACTTTTGGCTTCTATATATAAAGCATTCTATATATAAATAACATTAAGAGAAAATGGTACATTATCCATATTGAAAAAAACAAAACTATAATCCATGTGTCATTACAGTACGACGGCACGTTTGCTGATCACCTTGAGATGTTCATACAACTTGGCTACGTGGTGTTGTTTTCGTCTGCGTTTCCACTCGCCGCGCTGTGTGCGTTTATCAACAACCTGGTTGAGATACGCAGTGATGCATTCAAACTATGTTTCATATTCCAGCGACCGTTTGGGCAAAGAGTCCCCAACATCGGCACATGGCAGGTAACTGTTAATCGTCATATTTACAATTGATTTTCTGAATAAAATGGGTGAATTTCTCTGCTCTAAAAAGTTAAATCTCTGCTGTCATCCATACACTTTGTCATTTCCTTTGTTACAGTGCATTTTGGCATTTTAAAATTCCAGCTTCTTTGTAAATTGGTTCCCTGTAACTCATTATTGCATCTTTGTCAACTTAAAATTTGAGGTATTTAAAAACATACAAAAAATTGATTTTACTATCCAAAAACTTGTACCAAAGCAAAATATTTTAGGCCTACAAGTCACAGTGCAAGGTACATTAGGAATGTAATGTTTTTTTTAACTAGTCCCATTGACCATAATATTTGTTTTTTTTTAGTTTCAAAAATAAATTATTCAATAAAAAATAGAAAAATAGGCTTTGCTCAATCTTTGTCTAACAGACCAATAAAAAAGAAATATTTGATTTTAACGTTATAAATGTTTAAGAGGACCAGGCTGCAAGTTGCCTGTTTAAATCGAGAATGTAGTTCTTCTGTCTCCTAAAACAGTCAAATAAACATTCAGCACTGATGGTTTTACCCAGAATGCCATGGAAGCGATGGGACTGATAGCTGTGCTGGTCAACTGTGCACTGATTGGTCTCTCGGGTCCAGTACATCGCATGTTCCCTGAGATGTCCACCACACAAACCATCCTTCTCATCGTTGCCTTAGAGGTCAGTAATTGTAGTATTTAAATTATCTTGCAATTCAATCATATTCATTGTAGCCCTTTAAGCCTCAACGGGTGATAAATATTAGCAAAATACCTTTACTTTGAACTATAAATGTGACCATAACTCATGAAATTCAACTGAAACCGTGCCAGTCATGTGCTGCAATCTGAGATATAAGCATGAAACTACTACATTACTCCTTGATAGTAGGGCATTTAATAAATGGTTGCCTGTGTGGTTTTTTTTTCTTTCCTATCCTTGTCCTGTGCTATTACTTTTCTACATAGTGTAGCCGAACCTTAAGTCTGATTAATGATCAATTGGTCCAGTGCGTTGTCCTTGGCTAGTCGATAGCACCGTAGACCCCAAATCGTAGTGGATTCAAATCGGGTCCTATCCCTAACAGGACTAGTGTGCCACTCTGTGTCATTGAATATTTTTCTGATTTAAAAGAAAGTTAGGTGATTCTTTGTAATGAAAACTCTGATTCTCACTATAAACATATACTTATTACTCTCATTGACTGATTACACTCATCTCCATCCATACTTTACTTAAAATACCAAATCAAACCTACATTCGTATGGTCGCCATTTCATAAGAAAGTATTATAATACTACTCAATGAACCATTATAATTATTATAATGACCATAGACTACTCAATAAAGGAATTTTATGAAAATTAACATGTACAATTCACTATTGTATTGACACTATTGTAATTCTTGACGAATTAACAATAAAGAATATTGTATTGTATTGTATTAAAGTAAAGTATAAAGTAAACCTCTTTTGAACAGCTATTAAGTACTATAATGTCGTTTTAAACTGCATATCACGAAGGAAACATGATTGATACAATGTTGTGCAATGTGCAGCACACCATGTTGATCCTGCGACTGCTGGTTACTTCTGCCATTCCTGACTTGCCAGAGTGGGTGGCAACGGAGATGGCCAAGGTAGAGTTTGCCCGTCGTGAGGCGCTGCGTAGACTGTCCACAGCAACTCCGCAGCAGTCCACTCCTCCGCAACCTAACCAGCTACCTATTGGCAGGTAAACACTGCGGTCAAATAAACATTTTCACACTTGTCTATTTGGAGCCAAGTAAAATCAAATTAGATTGAATTTCAACATTTTAAAAGAGCAGTGAATAATAATCCAATCAAATTATGGACACTGTAAAATAAAGCTTTGAACGGTTAAAAACACCTCTGGTTTTTGGGTAACATTTTTTATAAAATATTATCTCTGCTATTGTATCCAACTAACCTAAACTCTAATATGAAATAAGAATAATATTGTTGCAAAAGGCACAGTGATTGAAATTTTATAAAAAAATACATTCATTTGATGGTTACAACGTTACAGTAAATATATGTTACACTCAAACTCCGAATTCGGACAATGTCCAAAATTTTTACCCACTCTGCGAAGTGGAAAGTGTGAAATACCCACGTCGCGGAGTGAGCATTTTATTCGGACATTGGCCGAAGCGAAATGCCCAGACCGCGTTGTGGGTAAACTGATTTACTCAAACGCCAAAGTCAAAACCTTTTTTGGCGATTGGGCAAATCCAAAATACCTACAACACGATTTGAGCAAAGGTGATTGCCCATGTCGGGCTGTGGGTGTTACTAGTTTACGCAAACGCCGAATAGTCTGAATAAACTACAGCATACACAAAAATCAACATGTAATCCACAATCACTAGGTAAAATCAAATAAAATTTATGTTTGCATATTTGTACGAGTGTAAAAACCCTTTTAAAAAAATATAGGTAAAAACCAAATTACCGGATAGGAAAAATTATAAAAAGGCTCGTTACAAATAGACAGACATTGAAATAATGTTTTCCGCTATAAAAGCAACCTTAAAACGGCGGCTATAACACAGTTCTTGTTACATTTGTATCAAAGTCCGATTCCTATTCTGTGACTGTTACGACTCTTTTTTAAATGCAACGTAAATGCAACCCATTCCAATCGAGCGTCTACAGCCGCGCGACTGGAGCGACTAGAGCCGCGCGGCTAGAGTCGCCACGATTCAAGATCATAAAGGATCAGTCTTATCACAATCGTAGAGCAGGTGATCGGCTGACTCCTCTGACCTACTGCATTGCCTACAGATCGGTTCACCATCCTTTGTAAATGTTTCCTGAATCGCCTGTGGCCAGTTGTCAGTTCCACCATTAATTTAATTCTTCGCCTGTCTAGTCTCAAGAGGTCAGAGACAACCCGTTTGGAAGGCCTAAACAAAGTAAGCTTACTAACCCCAAGAAGAAGAGTATCAACCCAACGTTTTCAGTGTTTTTCATTGGTCCATGACACAATAGAGGAGCATGCGCTTTTTTGTGAAATGCCACAGAAGGGTTGTGGACCAATCATTGTTGTCGCAGAGGCAGCGTTTGCCAATCTGTCCGCGGCTTTATTTCCTTCAATGCTTAGTACTGTATATTATGACATTGTTATAATCTAAGGCTTACCTTACGATCCAATTGATTTATTGTGGAGACCTAGGTTTCTACACCGGAGTGTTATCGTCAGTCCTAGGCTAAGCTAAACTTTTTGTTTTTCATCTCTTACTTGAGATATTGTCGGTTGGATAGAATTTTTACAAATACAAATACTGAATATACATAAATATTTACAAAGACATAGTGGAGAACTTAGATGCATGGCCATGAACTTTTCAATCCTAACCTCCAAAGTTGAGACGTGATAAGGATGACTTTACTATCTTCAACTTCTAGCATGGTTGTTATCACTCCAAAGACTCATAGAGTTATTATGTAGGACTGAGGACAATTAACCAGTACACTGCTATTGCAGGTTCGTAGTATCACCTGCGACGGAAGAGATCGAAGTGGCACCGGAGGAGGAGGCGGAAGAGTTAGACACAGAAGAGATAGCTGCGACTGTTGTAGTAGAGGAACCTCCTCCACCCTTACCTCAGGACCCCCCCACCCCACTCACCCCTCCACCAGCAGTCCCTGCAGTGCCTCCGTCCATCAGGCGGATCCATCGTGAGTGGCTGGCGGCCGACGCTGAGGCTGCTTTGGGTCATCATGTCACTATAGGACCCAGCGGGGGAGTGGAATGGGTACTTATCTATACCGTTCTTTTACATCCGTTTATTAACTGTGACATATTTAATACAGTAGACTTTCCTCATTTCTCATCAATATTACTTTTGGATAATGCAAATAGACATTCCATTTATGTGAACCAAATGGACCATTGACTATGAATACTGCAAGGATACATCAAATATGCATGAACTAGATTCAGCATTGACTTTGTATTGCAGGTAGACATCACATTTACGATAAACAGATGTAGCATTGACTTTGGAAAAGTATTAGATAAATATGTTTGCTCCACTCAATATTCTGCATTGTACACATAGTTTCTAGCATTATAAGCTATGACATACTACTTTGAGACTGTGCCCATAAAATGAAAAGCGTTCTGTCAAAGCAAAAGAAGGCTATTTGAATAAATTACAAGTTCAAGTTATAGAGCATATCGTAAACCTTTTTTTGTTAGTTAAACAAATTTTCATATTATATCTTCTTAATTTTTGTTGTCTGTAAAATCAAATACAGTACCTATTTGTGGCTTTAAAAATAGATACTGTTACTTTAATCATTTTAAAAGTGGAAATCACTTACACAACTAAGCAAAGGGTAAAAACTCAAGAATGTTTTCAGTGTTTAATTTTTTTTAGGTTAATTTTAGCCTGTGATCACTATTAACTACATCAAATAGAATACTAACGGTTAGTAATTTTTAATGTGTGATCATGTCTGGTCCTTATGATCACAGAGTAAATCAGCCTGTGTATTTTAATTTTAGCCTGAGTTTCTTAAATCTAGTCTGTTGGTCTGGCTGATAAAACATCTTTTTATAGTTTGGAGAAACATTTGAACTGTTCAATCTTCTATTGTTTGAATAACTTTGAATTATTATTCATGTGGACTAATTATTCTACCTATTTACTCCTTGTCGGCTTCTTTATATTATTGTTAATCTTTAGATATGTTATACCACTGTTCATTTCTACGTTTTATAGTTTTAGTATTTATGACGTCCACTGCTCTTGTTGGCAGGTACGAAGGCTAGGACTGGAGGGAGTGCGCAAGACCAGCGAGCCTGACATGGGTTGTAGCAGTGTGGTACACCGCAGCACTGACTGTATAGCGCTGCAGCATAAGGTACATTGTAAGGTATTGTTGTTAGAGGGTACAGTTAGAAGTTGGTAGCACTGTTATCTCATGCATGTAAACAGCTAATGTTTTGTAATTGGGTATTTTGGTTTAATAAACTCTGTTGTTATGGGACTTTTTGATTGAAGAGTGTTGATTTGATTATAAACGAGAATAAAGAATTTAGGAACTAAATAGTTGAAACTATTTTCAAAGGAGGGGGCAAAATTTGGCCTGATGGTCCCTTAGTTTTTGGAAAATGCCTGTAGCAAATTAGTTAAGAGTGAAAAGTGTAAGCTATCTCGATAAAATTGATTATTTTTGGCAGAAGTAGAAAGAGTAGTAATAACGATTTGAACACCTTTTGGTGTCAGGACGGAGTGGCCAGCAGTAGTGACAGTGATCTGCTACGTAGTGTCCCACCCTGGGCCCGTCGTACTGGTGGAGGTAGTCTCAGTACAGCTCCACAAGTACCTCCGCCCCCTCTACCCGAGCCGTCCACTTCTGACACCACTGCCTGTGACAATGACGCAGCCACACTGGCAGCTAAAAAACAGAAGGTTAGTACCTGCAACTACTAGTATAACAATTTAATTTTTCATTACAAGTACCAAAAGGAGCCAAACACATGAACATCAAATTTCACGTGAAAGTTTCATCTACGAAGAGAAGCTGAGGACAGGTAATTGGAGGTAATGCCAGAAAATCACTTTTGGTTCAAGAACCATTTTTTTCATCACGATGCAAAAATACGTACAGTAGACCTCCTCTTAACCGACCCTAATGGGACCGGACCTAGGTCGGATAACTCGAAAGGTCGGTTGAAACGGGCAATCCCTAAAATCATAAAATAATGAAGTGCTATTCATTTGGAATTATATAATCATTATTTTGAAGTCATACATGCATTATTTATAAAATAAATACATTATTTATAAAATATTTATAAAAAATTAAGCAATATGTAATAGTTGTTATTTCTCAGGTCTGTTATTCTGTATACGAGAAAATTATATAATTATATAAATTATATAATTATTATAATGTTATTCCGTGCTGTGACAAAAAGTATCGTTCATGACATGCACCGAAAGTGATTTTCCCACACTTGCTCCAATTGCCAATTATCCATCCTCGGCTTTGCCTTTTATGTGAAAATAACTCTAGCAGGCTTGGCTTCGTCTAGCAATTGAAATTTGCTGTTCCTGTGATCGGCTTTGCCTCACACATAAAACTCTTTATTATTTGAAGTACAGTAGAACCTCTCTCAAGCGAACACTTCTTACTGGAATGAGTATATTAACAAAATTGGCCTAAGAAAAACACCTAAATGCATCATGGACAAAGGAAGAGAAAGTGAATTACCAGTGATTATTAGGCTTTAAATAAATGATCCTGGTTGAACACCAACACAGCCAAATTAAATGAAATCAGTCCCAATTAAATTACTTGTTTTTCAGGCTAAACAGACATTCATGAAGAGGGCTCGGAGTGTCGCAATCTTCTCTCTGAAGCTGAAGGAGCGGAGAGCTAAGGAAGCAGAGGGGGGAACTAAGAGTAAAGAGAAAGAGAAACCTTCCCCTAGAACTCCCATAGAGCCTACACCTGTCCCTATGGGAGAGCTCTCTTATATTCCTATAGAGAAACTCATACACCTTGACGATGTCAGGAAAAATAAGTAGTGCCTCACAAACATATCCGTCTCCTTTATTGGTGAAAAGGTATTTTTTTATTGATATTCCAAACTATTCATTGAAACCTGCAGGATTTTTCCCTGATTTGACCAATGTTTAGGCCTACCAAAAAAATATTATTTTTCAGAATGGTATTACGACCTAATGTTGACTTTTATTTAAAACAGATATTTAGAAATCCTTCTTAAGATTGTAAGATTATTAGGGTGAAATAAAACTTCCAAATTTGTTGGTCTTCCGTGTAACGAATTAAACCTTATTTTTCTAATTAAGTAAATTGTTACATTAATCTAAAACCATTTACATCGACAGCAAGAATGATCCTGAACTTAAGTATACTGAGTAAAGCCGTTGTTAGCAATCCTCACTGCAACTACTAGTATCACTATTAACTAGATCAAATAGAATACTAATGGTTAGTAATTTTTAATGTGTGATCCTTATGATCACAGAGTAAAGCAGTCTGTGTATTTTAAGTCTAAAACTGTAAAAAAAACAACTGTTTGTTTACCATTATGTTACAAATTGATACATTTTGTAGTTGATGTAATTTTAAGTTTTTTTTATCAGTCCACTTTTGTGTGAGGATGAAAACATTGTTAAAAAATTCTTTCTATTTTCTAGTTTTGTTTAGCAGCTATGCATGCTGAATCTTTTTTATTCAAATTGTGGATTATGTTATTTTTTAAACCTTAGTAACATTACTACAAGTCTAGTGTTTTACTTAATCAATATATAATATTCTATTCCAATGTGTTTTGCTATGTGTGTTTCAATTATTTTCTACATATTTCTAACCCATACAAATCAAAATCTGAATAGTTTTTAATTTTTCTGTACCCATTTTATTACTAAACCAAAAAATCAATGGATTTAATAAAAAAGATAACTTTTCTATATCTTTATCCGTCCCAAAATTGAATTTCCAAAATGTTTATCAGGGTTAATTAAATACTGGAGCACACGAAACTTGGACAATTTTCTAATTTACATCTGCTTGAAGAATTCTACAATGGCAGTTTTGTAGTCTTCAGAAAATTCACTTGTTAGTACTGTAGCAATAGCTGCACTGCAATATTCATATGTATATAAGACTGATATGTGTTTAGGCGCTTTTGGTGGTTTTATATTATTATTATTAGCATAAAATTACTTTACTCTGTTTCATGTCTGGAGGTCTCTTGACGATTTGCAAACACATTAATCATGATTTAAGTCTTCAGTTATGATATAATTATTTTTCACAATAGATGATTTTAGTGATTATTAGTACCTAAAAGCACTGAATAGAGGTCTTGCTTTACTACTCTAATAAATTAACAGTTTTCCCATTGCTGAAATCATGATTGAAAATACATGCGCTTTTGTCATTCACTATTAACAATACAATCACATGTCAAAACAATATCTTCTGTAAATCAGAGAAGGAAAATAGTTTATCTTCCCATAACAGGAGACTTCCTCTCGGACTGTATGCAAAATCAATAAACTTCAGCAACAATGAAGGAATATTGCAATAGAATCTGTATGTTCGGAACATTTTTATGTTAGTGAGGGAAACCTTTATGTTTATGTGCAAGTCATGACTGTCCCATCAAATCTGATCCCAACGAGTGGAAGTCTACTGTAATTACTTATCGAATAACTTTCATTCAGTGTCTGCAACTTTAAAGCAATTTAGGTATTGCACTTTTTTATTGATTGTGTTGAAATAATTGAAACAGAGAAAAGAAAAATGCTTCTGTGAATAAGGCTGTGTGTTAGACAAGTTTACAATAAGTTAAATTGAGTTCTTTTTGTAGTTAGACTGCGCTCAACTGTGTATATCGATGTCCGCTTGAATTTTCTTATCATAGAATCAAGTAGATGCACCTTTTAAGCGAGGGCACAACAAAATTCTAGAATTGATTGTGTTCAAATGGTACAGTTTTAATACCTAAACTAAGTGTAAATATTACTGCTGAGGTTTTGTAACAGTAAAATTAAATATTTGTATGCTCCTTAAGCAAATTTAAATCTCATTTATTTAATTTTAACCATGGATTTTTTTACATTTATATAAATAAAGAGGTATGTTTTAAATTTTCATATTGGATTGTCTTTACTATAATGTTAGTTTCTCAATATGCAACAGTTTATAAACAAGAAATTTTTTGTGTAAAAAATTATTTCCTTTCCTTAACTCATCTGTATTGAATTGTGTTTCGTTATACATTCCCTTTTTTGTTGATGGTATGAAAAATAATCGAATACAGTGCTACACAGTTTTGTAGAAAATGCACTAAAAAACAAAAAGAAAATATGTTACGTCAGAGCTTTTGACTTGTACATCATTTTTAATGTCAATGTTGTTGTTATGAGATAAAATCATGTTTTAAATACATAATACCGGACTCGTGTTTTACAAACACTAGGATTTTAAACTATCTAAATGGAAGTGATTGATTGTGTTTTACATTAGCAAGTAATTTATACTGCAGTTGAACCTCTATTAACCGTTAGGCAAGGACCGGGAGCTTTACAGTAAAGCTGATAACATAGATAATAGACGTATAACAGAAATCCTGTTGCAAACCAGTACAGTAACTTGATTTGGGAAGATATGAAATCCTGCACAAGTAAATAATACATATATTTATATTGCTTGCATACAAGTGTAATACAGAACTGTTATTTTGTATGTTGTACTGGTTTACTGTTCATACAGTGAAACAAAATCCCATTAAAAAATAATCAAAGTACTGTAGTGAGGTGACGGATAACGGATAACAGAGAGTGACGGTGACTCGAGGTTATACTGTAAAAGGTTATTTAAAGTCTTAAAACGTTATGTTGACAACCGGTTTACGTTTCTAATTGCATTTATTTTGTGCTATATTATTTGTAAATCTAAATAAGTTTTTAGTTCAATTACAATTATCTAGGTTGTTCTCTTATAGTTGTAACTATTAAAATAATTTTGTATAAATTTGGTACTTAAGTTATTAACCCTTAGAGTGCCAGGCGAGAAATAAAAGTAACGCTCAAAAAATGCCGATGATTTTTCCCGAAGGTCGCGCTAAAAATGCCGAGCGCGATCTGGCGATTTTTAGGTTAAAATTTTGTAAAAATCGAATTTTCGATATTTCGACCAACGAAAATCGATGTATCGCATCTAGTAACTTTCAACTCAATGTTAATATATGGGTTAAAAGAATCCGAGTATCCATTCGGTTGTTATGACAACTGTTCGATCATTACGAAACGTTCAGCCGGACGTTGGCACTTTTGGCTCGTTCTAAAAACGTCCGGTCGGCCGGACGTCGGCACTTTTGGCTCGTTTTAAAAACGTCCGGACGTTGGCACTCAAAGGGTTAAAACCCAATCTAAAATGGTATTTTCAATGGTATCAAGTCTCTCCTTGAAGTAATATTCTATTGTTTTGGTTGCTTCCTTAGGACAGGAGGTAGAATATCCGCTGTTAATCTGCATTCCATACTTACCAGATAGTATCAGAAGTTTAGTTTGTTAACATAGCAAGCTTGTCTAGAGAATAGTAAAGTTGGTCTGTTGGTTTCTGCTATGTTGGTATCCCTTCTAGGTTGTTACTGAAGAGGCACATGATCTGATCAGTTTACCCAAAATGTTACGTATTTTTGTTTTATCAAATTGGTTTTTACTTTTGTATCTTAAATGTTTTACAATATCAAAATTTAAGTTGGCAATATTATTGAACTGTTTGTGACTGCTTTTGGAAAATAAGTCTCATGGATCAGCTGTAGTTTTTCCTGCCTGTATTTTGTGCCACTTTAAGGCCGGCCACACACAGAACCAGGCGGGTCGGGGCGCGACAGGGCACGGCGAGACGCCCTGTCTTGTTGCTGTCACACACAGAATGAGGCAGGGCACGTCAAGTAAAAAAGTTTAGCCCCCATAAACCTGAAAATTAATATAGGATTTTTTTATTTCTGAGCCTTGAGCCGATTTAGCCAATTTTTTATTTGACTTTTTGGAGCAGAATAGAAAACAAAACTCAAAGTCATAGGTACCTCCAGAGGAGTGGTTTTTTAAACCCTTAAGATATGAACGTTGGCCCTCTCTTTCCTCAGTTATCAATACCAAGATAAATTATTAGTTATTCAACCACTGTAGTAATATCATCACTGTATAGTCTTATTAAAGGGTGTAATCTTTGGTCGTATTAATTTTTACAGTTTTGTATGTAAATTGTATCAGTTGTAAAATAATCCTTATCAAAATTAGCCCGTAAGGGAATAAATCACATGACCGCGCATGCGCAGAAAGTTCTGCCCGGCAGCGACTTGCCTCGGGGCATAATTTTGGAGACCTTCGCATTTTGCCCTGAGGGCGCCCGGGGGCGTCTTTTCGACGTGCCCTGCCTCGCCCGGTCCTGTGTGTGGAGCTCCATAAGCGCCCGTGCAATTCTCGTCGCACAAGACGCCCCGGGGCAAAATGCCCTGTCGCGCCCTGCCTTGCCTGGTTCTGTGTGTGGCCGGCCTAAACCTTCAAAAATATGAATACATTATAATTGATTTACAATTAAATAAGATGTATTTCAAGTTCTATCTTTATTTCTGAAAATTAATAAGTTTATGAAAATAAATACTAAGGAAAAGTCATGCATTGAAAACTAGTGGTAAAAGTTAAATTTTTCAATCTCAATTATTAACATAGATTTTTGTCTATTGATGGACAGATAAAACAGTATAACAATTTGAACAGCCTTATTTTTGATGTTGGTGAACAAAGAACAAATTAAAATACATGGATTAAAAGTACTTTGAAATCACTTGAACTTTTAATACACTATTAGTTTTAAATTTCATTGAGGCAATTATGGAGGATGTTGTTCAACTATCGACAAGCCGCTACTTAAGAATGACTATTGACCAAGAACTAAGCTTTCATTCTCAATTGATTACCACTATCAGAATGATTTGTGTAATTTTATATTTCTTGTAATATTTTACTATAGAATGATAACTGTTGAACCATTTCTACAAAATTATGATAAGTTTTAAGTTTAATAGATTTAGTTACAAGAAAATTGCATTTGTTACATTGAAGTATTGACAAGTTTTGTATGCAGGGAACAACTTGACATTAGTTGCATGAGCTAAGAGTATTAACTGTTGTTATCTAGTTATTTGTGAACACATTGTTATTAATAAACTTAGTTTTAAAGATAAAACAGTTTTATATTGTGAACCTTGACTTTAAAAACTTGTTGAATCTCAATGCGGTAGGTTTTAAAAGTTTGCCACTAAATAATACTTCATAATAAAAAATCACAAGTTTTTTATGAAAGCTAACCTCCACCTACTCACACCAAACACCTACTCACATATCACAGGCCTAGAGTTGAAATATTCAACACAATGTCCTGTAAGTTCTTGTAAGGATGCATCAGGAAAGGGTTTTGAAAACTTTTAACTCTAATGGTTTTCATCCCTGTGTCTGAGAACTAAAATAATAAAACCAATATTTTTGTTATTGGTATACTCAAATAGTTGTTTGTATACCAAAGTGCTGACAAATAGAAACGTGATGGCCTATTTTATTTCAATTCCTATAGGGTTGACCAGA